GGTAGAACGGGGCAATGTGATTTTCAAGAGCGTGGGGATGGGATTGATGGACTTGGTGACTGGTGGAGATTTGATCCAATTGGCACGTGAGAAGAATATTGGTACGACGATTGCGGAATTCTAGCGAAATGATATCCTAATGTATGTACTTTGGTTTGTCTTGTTTTGTTTTATTTTCCCTTTGTTTCCTTTTTTTTTTTTTCTTTTTGTCTTTCTTAAGTTAGCTGTCTTGAGTCAGCCTGACTACTACTTTGGTTCGGCATCGGTGACCTTGACTCCTCCGAAGGTCTTGGGGACTTATACTTCTTGGGCATTACTTTGCGAGACCTTGGTCTTGTCTCCCCTTCTCTGTTTCATATTATTAATTAGGTAGCGATTATACTTTCATGCTGACAATACCATATGTTCTACTGGCTAATTCCTTGCAGATGGGGTCTATAATAAGTGCTGAGCAGACTTTTTTAGGCTCTTTAGGCTCTTTACAGGGCAATACTCGAGCGAAGCACTGATATCCAGACAGGGAGTGGATAGATGGAGGAGAAGATTGGTAATGCGCTGCTTGTCATACGGCGGAGGGAGACACAGGACCTCCATTTGGCTGGTCAATGCGGTTAGAGCCGTAATTTTGGAGCCGTGGGCGGTAATTTGGAACGAAGGCTGTAATCCCGCCGATGACATCAACCAACCTCGTCATTTCTTATCGCCTCAACTCTTTCTCCGAGAGACATCCTCTCTCTTTCCCTCTCTTCGCCCTCTCCGGCTTCAATTCATCGTCACGACTTGACTTGACCCTTCACTGCCGTGTCTTCTAATGCACGGCGTCTTCTCTTCAGGCTGGACCATGTCGCAGAGCGATTGCCAGCAACCCTGATTGGGAATCGCAGTGTTGGGGCCAAGGCACGACTGCGAGGCTGATAGCGGCCGTTCACCGACGGCGCGATCGCCAGCGGGGGGAGGAGGGGCAGCGACGCATCATCCCACCGTCTGTCCGCCTTAGTTTCCCCTCAGTCTCGTGCTTGTATTTTATTTACTTTTTAAAATCTCCTTCCTTCTCGTCCCTTTCTTCTTGACTCATATCTTCTTCATTCCGCTGTATGTAGGTCGCTGTCTCCTACGGGCTTTGGCTTTACAAGATGCGCAATCGCATGTGCCACCTGCCCAACGGGCAGACCTTCACCGTGTCACCCGTCTTTGGCGGGGTTAGCTTCAAGTCGAATGATGGTCAACAGAACCACCATGTGGTCCTCCCCGGCTGGAGCATCGTTCTGAACACCAGCAAGCCCGTCGAGAATGCTGATTCAACAGTGACCGATGGATTGGAGGAGCATCGCGGCCGGGATCGACAATCGCCAGAGGAGCTGGTGAACACCCGATTTACTACCCCTACCCTGCGCAATGACTCGCTCTACATCTCATACATTGTCGATCCGCCCAATAGCGAGTACAAGCCAGTCAGCTCACCGACGCGCCAGATCGCCATGATGCTCTGGGTGACGCTCTGGTGGTATTTCCACGAACCCGAGCCCGAGCGTTACTTGACCACCGAGGCCAGCGCCAAAACTCCCACCACGGGCCGGCCCCAGGGCGACTGGCGTATCTCCATCCGGCGCGAAGGGTTTTTCAAGGGTCGCACATTGCTGCAGAAGCTCGAGCGCATGGGTCTAATCGCCTCGGAGGACTCCTCGGTCGGGACTGAACCCTACAACCCCGAGGCGTGGGCGCGCATGTTCGTGAGCCGTCGCAGCTTCTGGCAGATTGATCCCAGGCTGTTCGTGTTCACTCTGACCCCCCAGATGAATATCCCGCCGGCGATATCGGGCTCGCCCTTTATCCAGCGGGTCGCATCGCCGTCGCGCGCGAGTATGTACCTCAATAATCCGGCTGGGCAGGAGACCGCCCACTATACCCCGAACGAAGGGCCGTTCGCTTCGACCAGCCATCTCCCCACCTACTTCCCCCCAGCCCCGACACAGTATACCTTGACCAATGGGATCCGCCATCCGATCCGTCCCAAACCCCCGCACCAAGGGGATGTGTTCTATATCCGCAACATTCCCAGCCTACAACAGTACCTGTCCTTCCGCGTACCGTACCTGGGGAGCTCCGCGGCCGATCAGTTCGGGGCCAAGCACGCTCACACTTCATCTAACAGTAGCATCGAACACCCGGTGACCCCTGTACCAGGGCCTTCCGACGTCGAACTGCTACACAAATGGATGAACGAGCCGCGAGTCAATGTCGCCTGGGGTGAGGCCGGCCCGGTCAGTCACCAAGAGGAGTTTCTGCGCAACAATCTCCGAAGTCGACACAGTTTCCCCGTCATTGGTTGCTGGGACGGTAAGCCGTTTGGGTACTTCGAGATCTACTGGGTCAAGGAAGACCGGCTGGGGTCGTTGGCCCCGGGGGGTGTGGACAACTATGATCGGGGTCTACATGTGTTGGTGGGCGAACAGGAGTTCCGCGGGCCGCATCGTGTGGCCGTCTGGTTAAGTGCCTTGGTGCATTATTGCTTCTTGGCAGATCCCCGGACGCAGACGGTGATGTTGGAGCCCAGAGTGGACAATGAAAAGTGGGGTTTCCCTCGCCTGCTTCACAGAGGCATCAAGCTAACATGATTGATATAGGCTGATCGGATACCTACACCGAGCGGGCTTCTACAAGGAAGGGGAGGTGACGTTCCCACACAAGCAGTCAGCTTTGATGAAGATCAAGCGGGACGCATGGGAGAGTCCTGCTACCTAGCTATGTGCTTCATGATGGATGCGGTCTCGAAAAGGAAACGATGCACAGGGAGAGTTCTCCACGATACCTGATCAATGTCTACGACAAGGTAGATTTTGCCTACCTATTTACGACCTATCTAGCTACCTAGTAATGAAACCGGGAACGCGAGAGCATAACGAACTCAATATTTCCATGGAATGTAGACATACCGCTGCCTTTCTGCCCTCGTGGGCCGTGACCAGTCTGCGACTTCTTGACCGATTAAGCTTTCACCGAATGCCCATCATTAATTAGGGCTCCACTCTTTAACGTCCCACCCAAATAGAACCCAGAGTTTCAGTTCCTTATCATGACAGGACATCTGCACAGACCGACACGGCAACTGAAAGTTTACAGAAACTAGCTGCATGGCCATCACGGCCAGTCAGTTCCCCGCTCACGCGCTGAATGTGACTAGCTGGTCACTGAATGTGCCGGGGCCTGCAGGGCGGGCGCGTATGCGGCCAACGATAGCGGGGGATTGCCCTCATCCCCATCACCATCACCACTTGGCACTGCTCCTCCTCCTCCAATTCTTCACGCCATCACATCCAATCACTCGGGACGGTCTTTGAATAAAGGGTATCGCCTGTTCCCTGTAGTATCTCAAGCATGATGGGCGGCCTCGTTCCCGATTTTGTTTTTTTCGCTCTTCACATCACTCCACATGAAGATGGTCAATACATGATCCATCACCTTCCCCTCCACCGCTTGATCTGTGATATTCAAATAGACACTCAGTTCCTGTCCAGGTTGATCTAGGGGCAAAGAATGATCTCCAGTGCTGGCAGCCTCGTTTTCTTTCTTTGTCTCTCTTTCTTCTCAACAACCGCTGCTGGTTCAGCATCACCTGTCTTCGAGCGAGACACCACTACCACCACCACCACCTTCACCCTCGACGAACCACTGCTCGCCGTCCAAATCGGCGGGATCATCGCCGCCTATCTCTTCAGCGTCATCTTCCTTCTGAGCCTCCTCCTTGTCGTCGGACGCCGTCTACGTCGCGCCGTCCTCTCCTCCAACTACTCCCTCCAAGTCCAGATGATGCAGCCCATGAAACCACTCCCAAGCATGGACCCCAGCCCCGTCACCCCGATCAGTGTTCACCTCCCGAGTCCCGCGGGGATCGGCCCTGGCCCAATCCCTCCGATGCCCGGATATACCACCAACAGTGGCACCCGTCACAGCAACAACCGTTCCTGGAGCAGCTTCAGCAAACACAGCGGCTCGCACCAGAAGTCGCAATCCCAGCTCTCCAACCCGAGCAGCAGCATCAGCCTGGCGACCATCGACGACGGCGTCGTCGCCTCCGACCGCCGCAAAGCCCAGGAGGACCTGGAGATGCTGTATGCGGCCGTGATGGAACATGACGAGATCAAGGCAGCCAACGGTGGCGGCGGCAGCGGCAGCCCGCAAGACCGCAACGTTTCGCCCACGGGTACAGTGAACAGCAACCCATTCAGCGACCCGCCGGTGGCGCCCGTGCAGGCGCCAACATTGCCTCGCACACCGTCCCGGCTATCGCGGATTTCATCATCATTGTCGCTGTTTTCGAGCAGCCGCGACCAGTCGTCCACCTCGCTCGCCAATCCCGGGGCTGCAGCTATTTCCTCTCCCAAGGGAGCCAGCGGAAGCGGGCGGGGCCTGGGCCTCCGCTCGCCGCGTCTGGCGCTGCCTCTGCGGAAGATGTCCATCTCCTCGCCGATCACTTCACCCCGGAATCATACTGCGCGAGAGAACGAGGACGACGACGATCCGTACGCGCATTCGCCGTTGACGCCGAGGATTTACCACCCGGCGCCGCCGCCAGTTCCGCCGTTGCCGGCGCAGATGCAGCCACAGGTGAGAAATATCGGGGGTGGTGGTGGTGGTGGTGGTGCTCAAAGACAATTCACCCACCCACCACCGCAGCAGCAGCAGCAGCAGCAGCAGTATCACGAATACCAGTATCAGCATCAAGACCCATACCACACAGACGACATCCCGCAATCCCAGACCGGTCTTCCGCCGCTCCCCACCCCACGAGGAATCCTCTCCTCCTCCACCCCCGAATCCCTCGACGCAACGAACCCCCGCAGACCGGCCCGCAACGCTCCTCCCCCTCTCACACTGACCAAACCCCTCCCGCCAACAGCCGCAGGGGCAGGCGGCCCCGACGGGCCCGGTCGCAGCCTACCCCTCCGCGACGCCTACCCGCTGCAGAGCGCGCCGGCCACCAAGCTGACCGTCCTGGAGCGGCCGGTCAAACCCCACGGGGCCCCACGCACGGGCATCCCCACCCCGTACAGCCCCTACATGCCGTTCACGCCTGTGACGCCACTGACGCCGAGTCGGATGGTCACGAAGCGGCAGCGGCGGAAGGAGGGGAAGGAGACCGGGTTGCATGTGTTGAGGGAGGATGATATGGTCAAGGGGGGTGGGGATTTGTGGGGGTATTAGCCCTCACTTGTTTGGATATATAGTGCCCGGGATATGAGTTATGATTACTATGGGGTTTTCTTTGCAGAATGGGGATGGGGATACTTGGATCCGGATATCACTTTCTAAGAGACTACTGTGTCAAAGACTTGGATCCAGCTGGTGCTGTGAATTGATTTCTATATCTTCCTCCGTTATCTTCGTTTAGCCTGTTCTGGGAACTGAGGCTTAATATATATTGGTTTCTTTGAGTCGGTATTGGTGGTTGTAGTAGGATCGGGAACAGATCGAGGTAGTAGCTGAGATGCAGAATTTGATGGCTAAGTCGACTCAAGGAATGTGGCTTGACTCAGTGGGCTGTTTACAATGGAATGGTTGTGAAGCGGCAAATATATAACAGATCTAGACTGCGGGCATAGCTTATCAGGCAGATATCGGAGGGCTAACTAGACTAGACTAGCCCGGGGATGATGGGACGATATATGCTGAATGTAGACAGTAAGTGTTCTCTGAGTCGACCACTTGTGAAACATGCATAGGGGTGAGATTATGAAATCAGGTTGAGCATTGATGCAATTATTGGACCCTCCAAGCCGGCTAACTAATCGTCAAACTTGCTAGAACTTCACTTATTGCAGGCTATGATGTTAAGAACATGGTTCGGATAGTACTGGCTGAGTATAGAGAGAGCCATAATAGTTGGGTTTTGTGAATTGATCAGTCATCCAATTATTATTTTACATTCTTGTGTTCTAGGTAGACCGGTAGATGTATATGTAGTTATAGTAGTTAGTAGGCAGTGCCTAGTGGTTACTGCAAATCACTAAGTCCGCCCTAGAAGCCTGAGGCGCTGCCTTGTTGCCTGAGTTGAGTTGAGATTTCAGTAGTCCCGTGACCCCTTTCATGCCTCAGGCCTCCTACGCACCCGCCACTTCATTGGCCCGGGTGGGGCTCGCCTAATTTCCTAGCGTCCCACACACAAGGTCGCTGAACGGTTGAAGAGATCTTGCTTCTCGAACTTCTCACTCGTGACAACGACGACAATCGACGACCTGCCACGCCGACAAGGTACGTTCCTGCCTCCAATCTCGCCCGCAATTCCATCGCGACCGTCGCAATCGCATCGACATCCATTTCACAAAACTAACGACTTTTTCCAACCGTCCAGATGGGTGCCCTCAAGTACGTGGAAGAGATCCAGAAGAAGAAGCAGTCCGACGTGATCCGCTTCCTGCTGCGTGTCCGTTGCTGGGAGGTGAGAATTCCCCCCCAAATGTCGATGATTTAACATCTCCCCGCCGGAGGGTGGTTTTCGCTCGTATGCTATGCCATAGGAATACACTTGTTTGCTCAACGGTGTTTTTGCTGGGCGGCTCGAAAAAAGACGACCCACCGAAAGAAAATTTTCTTCTCATCGCCGGCGGATGATGGATGTGGCACAACCAGGAGAGGTTCCAGGAGCCTCTGTGTGTCTTGCTATACACTCGTTGAACTTTGCTGAGAGTGCATCAATATAGCTCCGTCAACTGAACGCCATCCACCGTGCTTCCCGTCCTTCTCGCCCCGACAAGGCTCGTCGTCTCGGCTACAAGGCCAAGCAGGGCTATGTTGTCTACCGTATCCGCGTGAGACGCGGTGGCCGCAAGCGCCCCGTCCCCAAGGGTGCCACCTACGGTATGCTTTCCCCACGACTCGATCCACGAGAGAACAAGGCTAATTCAAGGGATGTACAGGCAAGCCCACCAACCAGGGTGTTAACCAGCTCAAGTACCAGCGCGCTCTCCGTGCTACCGCTGAGGAGCGTGTTGGCCGCCGCTGCGCTAACTTGCGCGTCCTGAACTCCTACTGGATCAACCAGGACTCCACCTACAAGTACTTCGAGGTCATCCTCGTCGACCCCCAGCACAAGGCCATCCGTCGCGATGCCCGCATCAACTGGATCTGCAACCCCGTCCACAAGGTTGGTTCTGCCATCGCCACGGTTCTCAAGTCTGATACTGACCCCGTCCCCAGCACCGCGAGTCCCGTGGTCTCACCGCCACCGGCAAGAAGTCCCGTGGTATCAACAAGGGCCACCGCTACAACAACACCAAGGCTGGCCGCCGCCACACCTGGAAGCTCCAGAACACCCAGAGCTACTGGCGTTACCGTTAAACGTAGCCCAGGGGCTGCGGAGCGGTGTTGTGGAGGGGAGTGTTGGAAATGGAAAACGCATGCTGGAATGCTTGTGGATGTGTTTACTCCGATACAAAAACTCGTTTCTGTGTGCAGGTCGTTCTTCGACTGTCGTGGTGCGAGCATAATGCAACAGATCTTCAATGATCGGATGTTAGCAAAAACTTTTCTTCCTTTTCTCGGTTTCATCGGGTTTTTTTTTCTTATTCCCCCTAACGAAGTATGCTTTTTCTTTCTGCTATCTTGTTTTTCTACGGTTCATTTGGCGGCTTCGTAGTGTAGATTTCGTAGTCTGGGGCTGTAGATTGGGATGGCTGCCTCGATTGGCTAGATTGGAGGACTTGCATTAGCATCCGCAATCCGGGGTATTGGTCTTCGGTCCAGCAGCAAGATAGTCTTGCACATCAGCTACGGACAGGAACTCCAGGGAGAGGCCCAAAATTGCGAGGACCAAGTCTAGGAGGGTAGGCCATGGATCTACATACCGGAAGGAATGGCTGTGCACCTCACCCCACCAAGTGCCAGAAACCGGCCACCATGATTTCATAGTGATGGTCTCATCGACGGTCATCACTTCATACATCATCGGGGTTAGCCTGCTACAGGATGTATCAGGGTGAGTTCCTCTCGCTGTTCCTCAAGGGCCTTGTCCCTGTGCCCTGGGAATCGTATCTCCTCCCAAAGCACATATATAATAGCCGATGTTAAGAAGGCCAAGCCAGCCCTTGCCATTGGTGCCTGCAAATTGATCCCTTGGGATATATACACAAATATAGATAGAACCGACACGAGTCTCTCTCCCTCTCTCGCGCGCCTCAAACACCTTAGGAAACACCTTAGGAATAATCGTGGAAGTCGCCTGCATGAGGCAAATCGTCCCATCCCATCCCATCCCGTGTTTGTTCGTAAAAAGGGTCAGGTCGGCCAAGCTGATGGACAGGTCTAAGACATGTACGGCGACTTACGGGCGCGCTTCATTTGCAGGATGCGAGCCCGCCCCATCGGACAGCTGAAAAGCTGGAACTAGCCCCGATGAATTTCCAAGGAGCTGGTTAAATTCCCGGTAGGGTAGTCTAGTCTACGGAGTCGAAAGAGACACAAAGTAGGTAAAAATAGTACAGTGCTAGGTAACCTAGAGTACTTCGTACCCGCGGCTTGAAACTTGAAAGCCTCCACCACGCCCCCGTTCCGGCGCCTAAAGCAGGACTGACTGATGACTCTATTCATGTCATAGACGTCACGGATTGTAGGGTCGTAGATCCAGATGGAGTTTTGGAAGAAAGCTCGGCTGAATGTAGCATTGACAGAGTGATTGGAAATGGAATGGTTCCTGGTTTCCTTTTTTAAGGTACAGTTACCGTTCGGTGCTAAGGCCCATTGCCAAGCTGGGAAGCCTTAGGCAACCAACGTCTTGAGTGACTGTGGTTATTATTATGGCTTGCGCATCCTCCTGCGACTTCCCCCCCTCTCTCTCCCCTCCTTTCCCCCCCCTCCCCCCCACGCCGCCTCCCTCTTTCTCCTTTCTCACAATCAAAAGCATATTTGTGTGATAACTCCTTTAACTTGTCCTTCCCTTTCCTCCCCCTACTACCAACTCATCACACCGGTTGTGTTCGCCTGGTGGTGGTTCTGTTTTGTCCCTTTCCTTGTAACTACTTGTACTGTACATGCTCACGTTACATCTTCCCCCCTCACGTTACATATATCCATCCTACTACTCCATAACTACAACCGGTTCAGGCTTCCTCTCGCTCAGCCTTACCTCATCCCCGCCAATTTGGGATAACTAACCCGGTTTCCTTTGGTTTCTTGTGGATTTTTCTTAGTCCTTACTTGCCTCTTCGTGCCTTCGGCAAAATTACCCCGGTTGATCCTGGATTAAAGAACGGCCTTGCGGCAAGATCGTCCCTCGTTACCGTCTCGCTTGTGCACGAGTCACTCGCTCCGCCGTTCATCCCCTAAGAATCCTACTGCTGTCAATCCTCCGACGATAAGATTCCCTATATCTCACTTGCTTGGACCTCCAACGCCGTTGTATCCCGCCGCCATCTCAAGATCGTTACGGATCACCGCTCCCTAAAAACCAATGCGCCCCTATGCCGTCGCGGTTCCTACGTAACCCGTCACTCACTCCAGCCGCTGGCCATCCCCATCCTTCCCTCATCCCCTTTCCTGCGAATGACGAGAGGAGCGTACCTGCCGAGATTGTCCAAGATGCGCCCGACCTGTTCGCCATGACGGGACTTACAGCTACTTCACCCCCAACCCGGCGCGGGCACTCCCGTTCCATCAGCCACCCTTTTCCCTCGCCGTTCGCCGCCGCCGCCGCTGTGGGCAAACGGCGTCCCTCGATCGCGAAGAAGAAGAACGGTCGACCGGGGCTGGATTCGGACGATGACGACTTCCTAGGCTACATGCCAGACCCGAGTTCCTCATCACCGCGCAACCGGCCCCCGCAACACGGCGTGATGGCTTCGGGGAAGTGCATGGCCTGCAACTGCACCGTGCGGTGGCCCCGCGATCTGAAGGTGTTTCGGTGCACGGAATGCTTGACGGTCAACGATCTGGAGCCGTACGTGGATGCGGCCAAACCCGGGGGTCATGGTAATTCGGGCGCCGATGGGAAGCCCCGCACGCCCATGGTTTTACGAAAAGGTATATTTGGTGACAGGGTTCCGGCTTGTGACTGATGCAAGTAGCTGACTGGTGTTTCCTTGTAGCTGTACCACTGTCTCTCGACCGGACGAAGGCGTTGCTGGACGACTGCATGACGGAGTACCTTCGGCAACTTCTCTACGGAACCGGACCGCGAGCGACACCAACCAGGAGCCAGCCGGGGAAGCCCCAGGATATTGCGCAGGATGAGAATCTGGCTCACTCGCCCGGCCAGACCGGCGAATACTTGTGTGATCCTCGTGCGACCGGCGACTCGCGTGGGCGAGCTTACTCGAATTCCAAAAAGCCAGGCAAGCTGGATGGCCCGCCAAACTTCTCGAAGCCTAATCTGAGCCCGTACTCGTCCCACGGAGAAGGGAAGAGCTCGCCAATGAAGAGTCGAGACACGCAAACTATGCCCCGGCGAGATCGCTCGCCTCGAGAGGTTGGCCAGGGAAACACGTCGGATGCAAAGGAACTGCCGCGCCGCCCGTATATCTTTAGGCTGCTGGAAGACTACATAATAAATTCATTCAAGGGCTGTGATTGCTTGAATAGCTCATTCACCACAGTACAGCACGCGCCTCGCTCCACCGATAATAGCACTCCCCCCAAGCAGAGAGAGGACAAGAGTACTAGCGCGGCGCCCGCGCCCGCGGAACATGTATTTGAGCCGGATGCTAAGCTCCTCCTCCTGGGCGACATAGCAGAAAATTCATCCTGGTGGATGAACGAGGTGGATCCTACCGTTCAGTCCCATGCCAAAGACCATCGGGAGAAATCCTCTGGTTCTAGAGCCGTCTCCTCTCGGAGCCCCCGTATAGACTGGGCGGAGCTTGCGAAATGGTACCACCTGATTATGACTGCCGGCTCTTCATGGGTTGAATTGTGGTCCACGATGAAGCCAGCTGAACCACGTACGGATGGTGACATTGTGGCTGCTCAGAGGTGGGAATCCACTGATTTAGCTATGGTTGAGAAGGAGGTGGTCGAGTCGCGCTTGCACCTGCATCGCACACTGCTCAAGGCCACGGAAAATCTCCTCAAACGGCCCCGACGACCACTCAAAAAGCCAGAAGACATCAGATTTCTCCTGATGCTCTTGGTGAATCCATTGGTTCATCCCTCGAATTCGTCTCTGGCTTCGTACACACTAGCCCCCTCTGCTCCTCGGTCCGATAGAAGGCCTTCCCATCCCATTCTCAGTAATCCAAGACCCGCTCCTCGAGATATCAAACCTCCCACTCGACTGCGAAGCGGGGCCCCGGGCATCACCCCGGCATCGTCAAACGAATTATGGGTCTGCTTGCCAATCTGCCAAACGACTGTCACCATTACTTGGTTTCCTGGTTCTCACGCTTTCCCACGGGACAATTTGAGAAAATTGTGGATATTGTGGGTAGTTTTGTGACGTATCGTCTGACTCGGCAGCATGGGCGGAAACGCAGCGAGACCGCGCAACCGGAAGATAGTCTAATACCCAGCTTCTCAAGCGCAGCGGGAAACACACCCGCCGAATTGCATGCCGCCATCAACGGCAGGAGTCCGAACAAGTCGGCCAAGGACGACCGGGACCAGCCTGTGGTCTATACGGATGACTGGCAGATTCGGGCTGCTGCACGGGTGATGTCGCTGCTGTTTACGGCCAACAATGCCACGGTGTCTCGCAAGCCAGATGGACCGGGGACTGCTAGCGCTGGTCGATCGCCGAGTGACCGACGGGGCCATATGGTACCGATCAGCTCCTTCTACAACACGCTGCTGGATTATTCCGATCTTGTGGCGGACTTTGAGGCTTGGGAGTCCAAGTCGAGCAAATTCTCGTTCTGCCAGTATCCTTTCTTCCTGAGCATCTGGGCCAAGATCCATATCTTGGAGCACGATGCTCGTCGTCAGATGGAGGTCAAGGCGCGAGAGGCGTTCTTCAATAGCATCCTCAGCCGGAAGGCGATCAGTCAGTATTTTGTGCTGAAGGTGCGGCGCGATTGTCTGGTGGAGGACAGCCTGCGAAGAGTCAGTGAGGTCGTTGGATCCAGCCACGAGGAGATCAAGAAGGGGCTGCGGATTGAGTTTGTCGGTGAAGAGGGAGTGGACGCGGGGGGTCTGCGGAAAGAGTGGTTCTTGCTGCTCGTCCGGGAAGTTTTCGATCCCCACCATGGTAGGTTCAGCCTTGTGAGTTTTGAAGGTGAACAAGGACTAACTTGAACGCCGCAGGGTTGTTCATTTATGACGAAGACTCACGATACTGCTACTTCAACCCGTACTGCTTCGAGTCGTCGGAACAGTTCTTCTTAGTCGGGGTTCTGCTGGGATTGGCTATCTACAACTCGACCATTCTCGACGTTGCTCTCCCACCGTTCGCCTTCAAGAAGCTTCTGGCTGCGGCCCCGCAGTGGTCGACCAGCCGATCGGTGTATAAAGCTAGCCTGGACGACTTGGCGGAGTTTCGACCTCAGCTCGCGAAAGGGCTCCGGGCCTTGTTGGATTTCGAAGGGGACGTCGCGGAGACCTTCTGCTACGACTTCGTCGCGCAGGTCGACCGGTATGGTGAGGTGGTGCCGGTGCCTCTGTGTGCCGGCGGCGAGGACCGACCCGTGACGAACGCTAACCGGCGGGAGTTTGTGGATCTGTACGTGCAACACCTGCTGGACACGGCGGTGACGCGGCAGTTTGAGCCCTTCAAGCGGGGGTTCTTCACGGTGTGCGGCGGCAACGCGCTGTCCCTGTTCCGCCCGGAGGAGATCGAGCTGCTGGTGCGAGGCTCGGATGAGCCGCTGGACGTGGCCTCGCTCCGGGCGGTTGCCACGTACGAGAACTGGTCAGTCCCGCGGCCGGAAACGGTGCCTGTGGTGCGGTGGTTCTGGGAGATCTTCGGGCAGGCGGCGCCGCAGTCGCAGCGGAAGATTCTGTCGTTTATCACGGGCAGTGATCGGATTCCGGCGATGGGAGCGACGAGTCTGAGTATCCGGCTGGGGTGTTTAGGGGATGACACGTCCCGGTTTCCGACGGCGCGGACCTGCTTCAACCAGTTGGGGTTGTATCGGTATGAGACGCGGGAGAAGCTGGAACGGGTGCTTTGGGAAGCGGTGTTGAACAGTGAGGGATTTGGATTGAAGTAGTGGTAGTGTTTAGTGTCTGGTGGGTGAGAGGGCAGGTCCCCGGTGGGTGAGATAAAGTATTGATAGGTAGAAAGAAATAAAAGAAATAAAATTATCTTTATCTATCCTCATAATGTAATTGTTTCGAAGTACTTGATAGTAGTGGATAAGTTAGCAGCCTGAGGCCGTGGGCGGGCTAGCAATGAGGACTCCCGCATTGCGTTAGTCTCTTGCAGCGCCGCGGAGATCACACTAACCCGATTCAGGACAAAGAGCGGCCGGCCATCCATCCATATCAAATTTTCCCCCGGAAAAAAAAAAGCTGCAACAACAACCTACGAACCGAACCACCTCTTATGAAAGTTGGTGGCTGTATAAAAAACCCCACAGCAAACCCCTTTCTAAAACTTCTTTCTAAAACTTCCATTATCTCACTATCACTACCATCCACTGAAACATTGTAATATCTTGAAAAAAAGCACACAGTACACCCACCCAGTACACCCCCCGTAAAAAAAAAGAAGCATGGCAACGAGGCCAGCAGGTCCGCCGCCGACCAAAAAACGGCGCCGCGAGCCCGTCAGCGTCGACCGCAAGCAGATCGAGATCTACGAGGACCTGGCGTCGGAGACCGACGCCGTCCGCCTCAAGGCCGCCGCGGCCCTGGTCGCGCAGTTCACGCCGGACCAGAACCCCGCCGCTGAGGCGGTGGACCGCGCCCTGGCGCGGTTGTTCCGCGGTCTGTGCAGTAGTCGCAAGGCGGCGCGCGTGGGGTTCTCGATTGCGTTGACGGAGGTTTTGGTGCAGGTTTACGGTGCCGCCTCCGGGGGTAAGGATGTTGGGGCGGTGTTGGGGGTTTGGGAGCGGTTGACGGATTCGGCCGGGGGGGAGTCGGGGCAGGTTTGTTTCTTCCTTTCTTTTGTTTTGTTCTGGGGTTTTTAGGAGGGGTTGAGTTTGGTTCTTGGACGAGGCGCGCGCATTGCTAATACGAAAGGCTAGGAACAACGCGATCACTACTTCGGGCGTCTGTTTGGCGCGGAGGCGATCATCAAATCCGGCATCCTTTTTGGGTCCGGTGCTGGTGCTGGTGCTGGTGCTGCTGCACCCGCGGAGTGGACCCGGCTGCTGGACCGCGTGTTCGAGCTGGCGAAGAAGAAACCGTGGCTGCGCGAGGAGTGCGGTTGGATTGTGTATCGGTGTGTTCTGGATCTTGCTTCCTCTCAGAAGAAGGACCAAGTCGGTGTCAAGCTGGTGGAGGTCGCGCTCGAGCGGCTGTGCGCGCACGACCTGGCCAAAACCCCCGAGGGCGTCGCGGTCTGGCTCGCGGCCAAGGAGGCCTTCCCCTCGGTCAAGTTCCCGGCCAAGGTGTGGAAGCATGAGGATCCCTTGGATGCGAAGGAAAGGGTTTCCCTGGGGAAGGTGATGAAGGATTCGTCGGATTCGAGTGCCAGCTCCGGTGAGGATGGGGACGGCCAGAAGAAGGGCTCTGGTGCTGCGGCTGCGAACTCCGGCGTCTGGAACTCCAAGTTGCACTTCGCGTGGGATGTGGTTCTGGGCCGGTTGGCGCAGGTGCCTAAGGCTAAGGCTAAGGGGGAGTCGAGGCTTGGGTTTGCCGAGTTCTGGACCGAGGTTGTGGATAGTATGTTCCCTTTCCTTTCCCCTTTTTCTTTGAACCTTGAGGTTGTTGGGCAGAGGGCGAGGGCAGGCTAACGCTGCGTCTAGATGGATTGTTTGCCGCGGCCTCCTCCGAAGAACGCAAATACTGGGGGTTCTCGCTGTTCATCAAGGTCGTCACCGAGAGTCCGCAGGCCGTGGCGGCCCAGACGTTCACTAAGAACCTGGTGCGCTGCCTCATGAACCAGCTGGCCGTCGAGGACCGCTACCTGCACCGCATGGCCGTCAAGGCCGCCAAGTCCCTGCAGACGCGCGTGGCCAAGGAGCCCGCCTTCGCCGCGGCGGCCGTCCGCGGCCTGATGGGGCCCGCCACCGGCGGCTCGGTCACCTTCGACCAGGCCACCAAGACCAAGACCGTGGAGAAGATCGTCGTCGAGGCCAACGTCGACGCCCTCAAGGAGATCGTCCCCCTGTTCGAGTCGCTGATTGCCGCCCCCTGCGGCCCCAACGATAGCAAGACCGCGGCCGCCAGCCGCCAGTTCCTGGCCGGCTTGCTCCTGGCCATCGTGCGTGCGCGCGCGTCCGCGGACAGCAAGGATGACGACACATACAGTGTGCTCGAGCAGATCCTCTCCATCTTCGTCCGCTTCGCCTACTTCAAGGACCCGGCCGTCAGCCCCGCGCTCACCGAGCAGACCCAGGAGCTCTTTCGTAGTCGCATCAACTCCTGCATCAACAGTCTGATCGCCACCGCCCGGTACGCCTCCATCCCCTACGCGGTGGTGCGCCAGATCCGGGACCTGGCCAAGTCCGAGGAGCGCGGCAAGTTCATTGTCAGTATGGATGAGACGATCAGTGGCGCGGTCAAGAATGCGTTCAAGTCGTTGAAGAAGCTGGCGAGTATGGTATGTTCCTCCTCTCTCTACCCGATTCCTCCTCCAATTCCGTGTGACGGAAGAAAGCGCAAGCCTGGCTAATCTTTTGTGGTTGGTGCAGGAGAAGAAGGATAACGCGGCGAGCGTCGACGCGTTCCGGCTGCTGTACTCGTTGACAATTCTGCAGGTGTACAACGGCGACGCGGACGCGGCGTCGATGCTGGAGGAGTTGGATTTCTGCTACACGCAGATCTTCGGCGAGGAGAAGAAGAAGGATAAGAAGAAGTCCAAGGGCAAGAAAGCGGAGGACGAGGAGGAGGAGGAGGAGGAGGAGGAGGAGGACGACGACGAAAAGACCTCCGATGCCTCGGACGCCCTGGTGGAGATCCTGCTCAGCTTCGCGTCCAAGCAGTCGCAGCTCTTCCGGCGCATGAGCGAGCAGGTCTTCGGGGCCTTCGCGGAGAGCATCACCGAGAATGGCCTGGAGTCGCTGACCTCCATCCTGGAGGCCAAGGAGAGTCTGGCGGGCCAGCAGGAGATGTTCGACCAGCAGGACGAGGACGGGGACGCGGACATGATGGATGTTGATGCTGATGGTGACGGGGACGAGCTCGACAGCGACGTCGAGGTCGTTGAAGCCGGTGACGGGGGCTCTGAATCCTCCACCTCTTCCGACTCGGAACTCTCGGACGACGAAGGCAACGACGATGAGGAGGCGATCTTCGAAGCCAAACTGGCCGCGGCGCTGGGCACGCACCGGCTGGACGCGGACATGCCGGAGGCCGAGGAAGACTCGGACGCGGACATGAACGACGACGAGATGGAGGAACTCGACGAGCAGCTCGTGAAAGTCTTCCGGGCGCGCCGCGACGCCCTCGGCCAGAAGAAGGACAAGAAGGACGCCCGCGCCAACATGGTGCACTTCAAGAACCGCGTGCTGGACCTGCTGGAGATCTACGTGAAGAAGTGCCACGCCAAGCTGCTGGCCCTCGATCTGCTGCTGCCCCTGCTGCGGCTGACCCGCAAGTCGTCGAACAAGCAGATCTCGACGCGCGCCGCCAACGTCCTCCGCGAGTACACCAAGCAGTGTAAGGGCGCGACGGCGCTTCCTGCCATCGCGGAGGAGGACGTGGACAACGTGTGGGAGTTGCTGAAGTCCATCCACACCGAGGCGACGCACAGTGGACCCCCCGCGCATGCGACGGCGTGCAGTCAGGCGAGTTTGCTGGTGGTGAAGGTGCTGGTGGCGCAGGAGCGCGGGAACGTGGCCCGTGTCGTGGAGGTGTACGGCGAGACGAGGACGAAGCAGCTGCTCAGTCGCAAGTGTCATGTCCAGCCGTCGTTCTTCACGGATTGGAATAATTGGTGTGTTTCGTTCGGGAAGATGAAGAATTAGAAGGTCAAAAAGTACATAGACGGTGGTTTTCGTTGGCTTCGATTCAGATATCCAGTGTTGTTGTTATGGGCTTGTGCTTGTTTCTTGAGTAAGGTTGTAGCGCTTTGGTTGTGTGTTCTAGTTACTTGGATGATGACAAGGGCGCAGGCAGGCAGGTTTAGGGTAAGGGTGCGGAGTATGACTCTATCCAGGCGGTTACCTACTGCTGTGTTCTAGGTACATGTTTGGAACTATGGACACCAAGCTTCCTGCTGCCTCCCCCGCCCTAGCACAGAGAGAGGGAGGGCAGCTGCCACAACGGCCCCGGAAAGACTCTCCAGTAGTCGTCCTCTCCTACCTAGTAAGATATCTTAACCGAAAACTGATTCCTCCACACAAGGATGACACTGCGCTGGATATGCAGACGTCACTGTGAGTGTGGCTGGAGCGCTGGGTAGAGTGTGAATGGGGAAGCTGTTAAGTGAGGCGGTAGCGGTTAGGGTTGCTAGAACGCTTACCTACCCATGATGGACAACTCTGATAGCGACGAAACAATCCCTCCCCTTTGAGTAACCACAGAGCTTTGAGCCGAGCACAAAGCCTTTGACGGACAAGCAAGAGATGCTCTGAAAGTACAAATGAAAAGAAGTGAAAAGAAAGATATGGGGGGAAATGATTCAATGTGCAGTCTAAGACATACGATTGTGAAAGCCGTGGGAGCGAATATCTCCGCTCTTCCCTTTTAGAACATAACAAGGCAGGGCTCAATGACTTGTCATGAGCTGATGGCACTGGGATTCCTGTACTATATAAGCTTGGGAATTCTCACTGTGGAGAAACTGTTTCCCACACAGGTCACTGCATCCTCGCTGGTTCTTCATCTTAGTCTAACCTTCTGAAGTAACTTGTTGTTCATTCCACATATCAAGACTCTCTCTCAAAATGTCTTCTCTCGGTTCCGAGCAGATGGCCGGTGATGCCGTGTCTATCCTTGATGACGCTGCGCCGGACCTTATCTATGGTGCTGCGTTTATTCCTGATGCTGATTGCGGTGTTAATCGCAATGCTAAGGTTGAAGATGACTACAAGGATGACCACGAAGAGAATCAGGATGATGATTTGAACGAGAAGCTAAACGATGAGTCAGGCGATGACCACAACGATGGTACTGATGACCACTGTGACAAGCAGATCGATGAGCCAACTGATGCTCAGACTGATGCTCAGCCCGACGACCACAACGACGAGCAAGCCGATGAGTCGACTGACCAGACGGAAACCACCGATACTCAGACCGATGACCAGAACAGCGACCAGACCACCGACGACAGCGACGAACAGCTCAACGAACCGGCCCCCCACGACGACGACTTCCTCCACGAAGTCGAAGCCTGGCGCGCCTACTTCCAGCAAGAATGGCTCACCCACGGCGGGATCCTGCGCTGGACCACCCACCGCGTCCTACCGGCGGCCGGCGCTCTCGCCCTGTCCGCCCTGTTCTCGACGCCCGCCATGTACATACTGCACCTCCTGCACCTCAACTCGTACCTGACCGACAGCCCCGACGGCTCGGAGTGGCCGCTGCGCTTCCGGTTCACGGACCAACTGACCGATCTGGAGTGGATGGGCGCCCTCTTCTGCGTGCTGGTCGTCTGGCACCAGTACCTCTTCAAAGTCATCTTCCAGGAGTACCGGACGACACGGGCGGGCGCCGCCCGGTATCTGGACGTGCTCGGCCTGGTGTCGTGTCTGTTCTGCATGCCCGGGCTGAACGGCTGGGTGGTCGGGCAGATGTACGGGCTGACGTTCGCGGTGCTGCACCTCCATCTGCTGTGCATGTTGGGGCTGTATGATTCCGCGGTCTGGGCGAGAAAGTGCGCCCGCCGGCTTTTTGGGCTGCGCGATGAGATTTGTGGTCAATATTGTTTTTGGAGGTGATGATGATCGGGATGCTGATGTTATTGTTGCTTTTGAAGGTGATGATGATGATGATGATGCTGATGTTGCTCAGCATGACTTGGCGCTGCTGTTTGATCTCTATCACTTGCTCTAGACAGGTTTCCTTTCAGTGAGAGAGGCGTCTTCTGAGGTCTGCTCGTCGGTGCGGCTCTTTGTTGATGCGGCAAAAACAATGTCTTCTAATGAGTAATCTTAGTACAACAAGTTGGTATGCATTGATTAGAATAAGTAACAGTGATTATGTATAATCTTTTTACAATCTATCCATTAAGTAGGTTTCTCTCGGTGAGACGTAGATTAGTCTCCTTCATACAGCCCCTTCAGAAAAGTAAATCCCTTGAACCCGATCATGTCGACTTACGTTAATACTCCAAAGCATCAAGAGTGGCTCTTGACACCTAGACTGGCTGCCTCTTGGTATAGGCGTGAACAGAGCACTCCAAGGAATGTCTGGCGTTAGAGTAGGAAAGTAAATACCAATATCCTCCAATTGTAATCGATCATTAATTTGTCTGCCTCAGATAAATACAATATACTTGTTGGTCTGGTCCAATGAAGAATATTAGGTACCATAGCTGCAGAAGCTTGCACTCCGCTGATAGAATCCTTGAGTAAGACAGTGCTGGTGTCAAGACCTGTTCACTTTCAACCGAAAATAGAAAATAAGACAAAAGGAAAAGAAGAAGGAAAGACGAGCGAAGAATGACCAGGGGAGGTAGCAGTTTTAAAGACCCCACCTGCCTAAGCTATGAACGATAGGTGCTCTGCCCTCCCCATATCATATAGAACCCCTAAGGTAAGCGATTGCACAAACCGACCCTAAGCGGCAGTGCAAGCCCCGTTCACCTGAGTCTGGGGCGGTCCGACATCAATCGTCTGCACGCCACTGACGGTGGTGACGCTGTGGTCGATGCCGTTGAAGGTGCAGCGCACATTGCCCGTGCTGGAGACGATGTGCGAGATGCTAAGCGGGTTGGCTGTTTCCCCTTGCGGTTAGCATGGGAAGGCACTGCTTTGGAAAGCAGGGACGGGCAAAATTCACATACTGATGGCCGTCGAGGTGCCGTCGAGCGGGAACGACTGAGAGAATTGCGCGTCCGCGGCGCCTTGGAAAGTGATTGTGACGGATGAGCCCTGGCCTCCGGAGGGAGTGCTGGGGGTGGAGGGCTCAACGGGGGCCGGGGCCGGGGTAGGAGTTGTGGAACCCCCCGCGGCAGTGCACGAGCCCTGGGTCTGGGTCTGAGGGGGGCCCACGTCCACGGTTGCTACGCCGCTGACGGTCGTGCTGGAGTGGTCGATGCCGATGAAGGTGCAGGTGACGCCTGCGGTGCTGGAGGCGATGTGCGAGATGCTTAGGGGGTTGGCTGGGTTATTGTTAGTGATCGTTTGGGGGCAGGGTTTGTTTGCTGGGTTTCAGGCGGCTTACAGATAGCGACGGTGGAGCCATCGGTGGGGAAGCTCTGGGTGAACTGCGCGTCTGCGGCGCCCAGGAAGGTGATTTGGACCTCGGTCTGCGTGCGGACAGCCAGCGGCGCGGCGAAGATGGAGGAAGCGAGGGCGAACAGAACGGTGGACTCGGAGAGGAAATGCATGGTGATGGTGGGTCTATACTTTGCAATCAAGAATGACTTGGAAGGTAAAGTGTAGCGAGAGTGTGAATCGAAATTTTTGTGATTCTGTGTGATGCTGATGAGAATAGATGCTGGCTTGGGAGGGACGTCTGAGAGGTTTATATAGACATGATATGGGCTGCAAAAGCTCTGCTCAGCGTGCAGTTTAAGTCAGGTATACAGCTCATTTCCCTAAAATAGGACTATACAACACGACCCGTGGGAGAGGAGGTACTCCGCCGGCCTCATCAACAAAACCCTCATAGTTATTTCTCGGCTGCGCTCGGGAGACCGAGAAATTCCATGGCTCGTTGGGAGAAAGGTCAGGGCATAGCCCCGGATTTGGTATAAATGCGTAGAAAGTACCATGTATTGTACTCAAATTATCACACGACACACTGCCCCCCGGTGGCCGTTCCATGTATCTACCAGCAACGGCAGTGTAGTCTCGTGCCAGGGCTTGAGCTTTCTTCCCCGGACACAACTGAGTCAATTACGAGCAGAGCCTCGTGTTGAGTGCATGCACAGCTTATTAAGGCAAACTCTATCTCGACCATCGCCCGTCTTTGTCCGGGGAATTGACAGCATCCCACCGCCGTATATGCACCGCCTGAAACCTAAACCCGGACACTCAAAGCGGAACACGTCTACCACGCTGATGGACATTATCCATCGGTGCGGTATGTTTTACATAATAATGACAAGTTTCGAGTCTGTGGCAGGTGAGCAGAAAAGCGCGCATCTGATTTTAGAACAGACAGTGCTGAGCGAAGGCCAGTTGCTTGTCGCGGGCGTTGTTGGAGTAGGGCAAAAGTCATGACATCATACAGGACATGGGGATAAAGGATTGTTTGTATACATACACACTGCCACCTACCCACATCTGGTGTGCGGATGCTGCCGCTGCGAAGGGGGTTTCTCATTCGATGTCTAATTTAAGATCGAAGATGTAATGGTCTTAGACATCGGGTAAGGCCTCGTTCACGAGGTACAGCACAGGGTGTCCGGCTCTATCCTCCGTAGCACTACCGTCGTCCGCCCCCAAGCCCTAATCACTTACTGTGCATGGCTCATCCAAAACACTCATTACCGCTGAAGCTGGCTCGAGCTATTCCACTACTTGTTACAGTATGCTTTCTTCTTTTCTACCTTCACCGCCTCTAATATCTCTGCTTCCCACCTGTCAAATGCCTCTTCGTGGTCCTGGGAGGCCGCCCACGGCGCCACATCGTAAGCAGGTTGATTCCCCCCTTCGCCGCACCACACTTAAAAGAGTGAGATGCCAGGTAAGACGATGATGACATCCGCGACTAGGTCACCGGCTGCGTGTTTGAACTGTGCAGCTCAGATCGCTTCTGCTCGGGTTGTATCACTAGCGTGCCAGCGCTTTGCTGAAGTGGAGTAGTACCATTGCACTGAAAGTTCCGCCGCCGGGCTACACCTCGGCGGGGCTCGGTAAGAGAGAGAGAGGTCTTCTTGAGCTGTGTAATTTGTTTATGGAGATGGGCGACGCCGTGGGAAGAGGGAATCCCGGTCGTGACTGGCTGGGATTAGTTAAAAAAAACCTGATACAGCAATTGGGAGGACGCAGAAAGCGACTGTACATCGTACTTCTCTTCGATCGGGCACTGCACAAAAGCAAAAGGACCTAGCGAGGCTAGCCTCCTCTTGATCCACCGAATTCACTACCACTCGATTATCCTCGAACTTATACCAGCCCACTCACCGGCCGATCCATTCCCAGATCCCACGTCATCCGTGTCAACCCTCCTGTCTGAGGCAGTGTGCGGGGGCATGTCATGCCTATAACAGTTTTCCATACATCTTGGTTGTCTCCGGACCCGAACTGACATGGTAAGAAGCAACATTTAACACATATGCTCCCCGCGACTTGATGACGTTGCACCCAGAGAATCGACCAGCGTAGCAACGCACATGTATCATCAGATGCGCTACTCAGCAGCGAGAAGATTGACGACGCCGAACCACAACGGTCGCAGACTGGGCACGAGCTTGGACTGTGGGCAAAGTACTTTGAGCATTCTTATTGCTTTCAACCCCGGTTTGAACCCCGGTTTGAGTGGATGACCTCCAGCAAATCCTCATCGTCCTGAGCAGATGCAAGGACCTGCCTGAGCAGACTGTCCGTGATGCTGGCTACACTGGTTTGTGGATCCACTTAATAGGACTGCTACCCACGGCTTCTCCCTTCTGAGCCTAAGAAGTTGTCGCAACTCCTCCAGTGTATGTGCCAGTCTCAAGGTCACGGAGCTGGGGCGCTGATCAGCGTTGTCTCAGGGCCCGATCTTCATACACTATTAGAACGCTGAACATTGAACTGAGTTGGCGAATTTGGTGGACCTGATCGACCAGAAACAGTGGATCTTGTTCAATGCAGATAGCTTGACCGCCAGTCACATGATTCTGCATTCGGTCTGCTGTGACACGACTCGGGCGGTAATGAGGCTTCGCGCGCATCTCTATAGTAGATCGTCTCGCGAATATCTCTTTCCTATCGCCTCGTTTGGCATCGACCTGACGAAGCGGTGAGAGGGGTTGAATGAGTATGGACATGGCTAGTTGAAGAGAAATAACATGCGAGGGTCCTTGGATCTGCTCCTGGCCACAGTCTGGAAAATCAGCTCAGAAGTAGCGCTACCCCTGCAAAACAATGTGTATAGGAATGACTGTGTATCACCCACCCCGGCAGTATCCCCAATATTATCAAGGATCTAGGCGCCAAGTGAGGGGAACCAGGCCCCAGCACAACCCAGCACAACCCAGCACAAGACCTCCCAAAGGAGGGGAAATCGGCCAACATTACTCCGACAGAATAAGCTTCTTCAATACAAAGCCCATTACTTTCCCGAATCAACCTCTGCAAAGACGCTGATTGACAGGCCGAACAACAAAATGACCGAAACTGTAAGCTTCCACAGACAACCGCCCCCCCGCACTATCAATCCTAACCGCGACCTCTCCATTTGGCATTGGCTAAACCACAATCAACCACCAGAACCTATCATGCGTCCTCTACGGCGCCGGAAAAGTCCGGTTCGAAGACCGAGCCATCCCCCAAATCGAAGACCCCCACGATGTCTTGATCCGGATCGCGTACGTGGGCGTCTGCGGTAGTGATGGAAGCTCCCACCCCAACCCTGTTCCCCTCCCCAGGGCTCCCCAGACAAAGAGACTAATTCTGTAAGGTCCACTTCTGGACCCACGGCGGCATCCTCACCAAAGTGACCCCGGAAAAGCCCCTAGTCATGGGCCACGAAGCCTCGGGCACGATCCACGCCGTCGGCGGCGCCGTCACGGACCTCCAGCCGGGGGACCGCGTCGCCATCGAACCGGGCTTCCCGTGTCGGCGCTGCCGGCCCTGCAAAATGGGGCGGTACAATCTCTGCCCGGCCATGAAGTTCGCGGCCGACCCGCCGGACGCGCACGGGACCCTGTGTCGGGTGTTCCGGATGCCGGCGGACTTTGTGTACAAAATCCCCGATGCGCTGAGTCTGCAGGAGGCGGTGCTGGTCGAGCCGTTGGCGGTGGCGGTGCATGCTGTTCGGTTGGCGGAGGTGCGGCCTGCGCTGCATGTGTTGGTGCAGGGGGCCGGGACGATTGGGTTGTTGGTTGCTGCTGTTGCAAAGGCGTATGGGGTTACCAGGGTGGGGGTGAGTGATGTTAGTGAGGCCAAGGTGGAGTTTGCGAGGGGGTTCTTGCCGGGTGTCACGGTGATGCGGCCGGATGGTGCAGACAATGCGGAGGAGGTTGCTGCGCGGTTTAGGGGGGAGATGGGGCTGGGTGCTCAAGGGGTGGATGCGGTGGTCGAGTGTACGGGCGTGGAGACGGCGATGCAGACGGGGCTGTATGCCCTCGGGGCGGGTGGGGTGTTCGTGCAGGTCGGAATGGGCAAGGCCCTGCAGGCGCTGCCGTTGCTGGATATGTTCGCCAAGGAGACGGTCTTCAGGACGGCGTTTCGCTATGCGCCCCGTGACTATGAGATTGCGTTGGACTTGCTCGCTGAGGGGAAGGTCAGTGTGGCGCCGTTGATTAGTAGTACCCTGCCGTTTGAGGAGGCGCCTGAGGCGTGGGAGAGGACGCGCAGGGGCGAGGGGATCAAGAACCTCATTCGGGGGGTGCTGGACTAGCTCTGGGATATCAATTCACTTTCAGTCTGGCGGTAGTGGCTGAGACGGGTTCGCCGTCATCTTGAAGTCAAGTGACCCAGATTGTGACTTGGTTGCCGTATTCACATTGCGAGGAATTGGAGCATGGCCTATGACATGTTCAGACCGCAAGGGTTGAACTCAGCGATATGGCATTGTTGCCTTGGAAATGGATTGCTGAATGTATTGTTAGCTAAGGCTTCCTGGGACATGGCTTATGACTCCTTTCTTACGCGATATTTTGTATCCATCAGAAATTGCAGCCGCATGATGGTATAACAGCGGACAACCAATTCTTCGGAATGCGGTGTTACTGTTACAAGATGTCGAGGTCCTGATATAGCCGAATAGAGCTACCGTTCAAGCTGCATCGACAAGTATGACAAGAGAGAGTATGGAGAGCAATGATCAAACATTAATGGGATGTCAATGACCAATGCCCCCCTGATCTAGGTTTTTCTTGACGTATCACCCGCAGCTTGATCACAGAAGCCAGAACAGATCCGCTATATCATTTAGCGGGAAAGAACCCTGATGCCAGATGCCAGAACAACAAAGATCAAAGAACCCAAAGTTCAGAATAAGCATCTAAGAATGTAGCTCGCACTTCAAACAGCCTACCCCACTCGAGACCAAGCTGCCAGACTCCCACATCTCCTCACCAAATAGCAAAGCATTGAGTAGAAGTATGTACCTCGAACCTTATTCCAAGTGCACTGAAGAGAAGAGGGAGCAGTCTCGACAGCTGGTGTTCCCCAGACACTGACAAGCCCGGAATCTGTCCAGCGCGAGATAAAAAAAAAAGAATCTCCCAGTCCCGCAGTGACCCAGCTATACCTTGCGTCCGAATCTCCGAGCTTACGTATCTCGTATTGGACCGGCGGTGGGTATAGGATAGATCCAGAGTGCCCTAAAGGTCAGTTCACTTCGCACAAAGATACGTAGCATGCATGCATCGGTATCGGCTCATTGACCAAATATTGCCCACTCCCAAAGATCTTCATATGCCGCATACTGATGGCTTATGAAGGAAAATCTCGCAAGTCAGAATCTGCTAGGTAAGGCAGACCCCCCAAACAAGCATAGACCTTACCTTGGGAGCAGAAGTCTAGCCCAGTGAAAGTCCCGAGCCCTCCTCGATCGAGACAAAGCGAGTGGTTCAGATCAGATCGAGTTACGAGAATAGACACGTCTTGTAAGTTGAGCAAGAGTAGCGGTCAGAGTATCCAATGCCGCCACTCCAGCCAGCCCTGACACCTTGAAACATCCCCTTTCCCCATCGACCAACTCAAGAAGCTCCCTACGGCATCATAGAAAAGACTCGACTACTTCATATTACGTACAAGCATACGCTCATCAACCCTTGCCAAGCACAAAGACAGTCAGGAAGCGGGGAAATCCACCCAATCGAGGAACTGAGAGATATACGCGTGGCTGGGGGAATTTCGCACACGCAAGGGGGCCCAGGGGTCTATTGGCCAACTTCTTTGTTGAGCGACATACCTCACTACCGCTCAGGAGCAGCATTCCTGCGCTCGACGTGCCTCATCTGATGATCTGCTGGACCCCACAAAGAAGCACCAGACCAATTCTTCTTACCCAAATCTCAACGAATGGAGGACCGGGTTGCATCCCTTGCGGATCAAGGCGAGAGAAAATATCTCCCCTCGCCTTGAAATCCTTGATCTTGGACCACGGTGCCGCCAGCTTGAGGGCTAAAGGCGCCATTTCCCTCTCCTCTGCCCCCATTCCTTAAGCTGGGAAGATGACCGGCGGCTTGGAGAGAAAAGAAACTCTTTCCCTCGCTGAGAGTTGAGGAATTGGAGCAGCGCGAGTATGGGTTGACGAGGTCAACAAGATCAAGGTTGTTTTCTTTCTTTTTAAACAAGCCGATTGCACTGCACTCTTGATCCACGCCTCAGGGTTTCCCTCCGTTGAGAAAGCTATTTCACCTTGTGTCACCGTCACCGTCACCGTCACTGTCACCGTCACCGAGAAGGCAAGCAAGCATGTTTTGCCTCGACCACCGGCAGGACCCGACGGTCCAGGCGCTGCGACAACACATCGAGAGCGACGCGGAGTTGATCGAGCTGTTTGCGACGGCATTCAGTGAGATCCCCGAGGAGTTTCTGGACAGATCTAAGCACATTGGGCCTGCCCACATCCGCGACTACAGTGCCTTGCTCGACAACATCGACCAGGTGATCCAGACGGTGCCCTTGTGGACGTCGGCTGTGGAGCAGAACTGCGTGATTGCCTGTCCGATGAATGAAGTGCTGGTAAGTCTCCCTCTCTGCCTCCACATCAACCACGCCGGACTTCAGACATGCTCAGCCTTCCCTCGTAGATATGGTTCATGAACACGCGGACGGGTTCACACATTCTCGCCCGCAAGGACATCAACGCGCACTTCTACGACATCCTCCAGAGATGGGGCCAGTACCTGGCCTCCGCTGAATCCGCCAAGGCCATCCACAACGGCGAGGGCGGGTGGGTATCCTCCGGCGCGCTGACGGAACTCCTCGACGTCGTCGTGCACGCCCACAACACCGCCTTCCGGCCGGCCTCCTTCACCGACGCGTTCATCTGCGACCCCTCCCTCCCCAACTACGGCTTCCGCTCGTGGGACGACTTCTTCACGCGGCGGTTCCGACCCGGGATGCGACCCGTCGCCGGGCCCGAGGACGACCGCATCGTCGCCAACCCCTGCGAGTCGCAGCCCTTCGCCTTAGTCAAGAACGTCCCGGCCAGCGCCCACTTCTCGCTCAAGGGGACCGTCTACTCGCTGCGGGACATGCTGGGCAACGGCAACGACAACGACACCGCCACCACCACCGTCCGACCTTCAGCGATCTTCACAGGCGGTACCGTCTTCCAAGCCTGGCTCTCCGCCTTCAGCTACCACCGCTGGCACGCCCCGGTGACCGGCACAGTCGTCAACGTTCTGAATCTCAAGGGCACCTACTTCGCCGCCGACCCGGCCAAGGGCTTCGAGAACGTCGACCCTGCCACCAAGGCGTCGTGCCCCGACCGCCAGGCGCCTGATCTCTCGCTGACGATGATCTCGTCGACGGCCACCCGCACTGCCGTGCTGATTCAGGCCGATAACCCGGCGCTCGGGACGGTGGGCTTCCTGGCCATCGGGATGGCGGACGTGTCGAGCTGCGTGGCCACCGTCGCGGTCGGGGACCGCGTCGTCAAGGGCCAGGAGATCGGCAGTTTCCACTACGGCGGGAGCTCGTACTGTCTGCTGTTTGAGCCCGGGGTGGATCTGACCTTTTCGCCGTTCGTCGGGGAGGCGTTGGCGCAGGATCCCGGGTATGAGGGGCGGTGTATTGCGGTTAATAGCCAGTTGGCGGCGTTATGAGGAAACCCCTTTTGATCGTGGTCATGGAGCACGAGAGTTTGTCGGAGAATAAGTTAGGGCTGGGGTGATCTCGTGATGTGGACAGATGGATCGGGCAGGTGGAAAAAGTGGAAGAGTTCAGAGCATCATGGGCAAGCGAGTTGCGGGAGACCAAGAACGATGTCAAGTTGATGACCTGATTCTATACTTGTCGAAAGACATCAGGAACATGACTAGGGTTGGTCATGACATGACATCGGGAGTTTCTTCAATAATTATGCTGATACGAGGTTGCAAACCAAACCACGAAGTAAAACGCACGTTTGTCCGTATCTTGAGGCTGGCTGACTCATCCCTAGACTGTGAACTGCCTGAAGTAACCCTGCAATTTGCCTCAGCCTCTCTGTCTCGATCTAATGTAGCCCACTAGTCGCAAGTGCCACTCCCGTCAACTTCTCAATCTCATGAAGACCACAAAGAAGAAACGTTGCTGCGGGTACTGTAAGTATACAGAGTAAGCAATTCACTTCAAGAGATTATGCACACTTATGGGCCTTGCAGCCTCCAGACCACCTCACCCTAGAAATGGTCGACTCAACAACCTTTTCCACAGCAAGAATCACCGAAGGCGTTCTCCTGTCACGGCAATGGCCTGTATCTAGCGAATGTGACGGAGATAATAGTCACAGAATATCGGCTCTTACCCAAGAATGAGATCTGAGAGAAGCGCTAGGCCCGAGTGGATCGCATTCACGGATCGAAAATCCCAATGAAGTCGCGTCCGCTAATCCGAGTGGGCCAGCGACTGCATAAGCGGACATCAAACCCAACCAGGCCAGAGAACGGCAAGTACCGCAGATGCCGCGCACAGTGCCTTGGGTAGAAGCGTTTGAGACCGTCGCGTTTCAATCCAATGGATTTCCCGACACACGTCATCACACCCCGCGTATACACTTGCATTGAACTAACCAGCGGGATGGGTATGAGAATGTCGATTAGTGGGATCATCGTGGCGGGGTAACCATATTAGGGCCTGCACTGTAAAAGCACGGGCAAGTCAGCTCATTTCTCGATTTCTCTCTTCGCCATAGGCTTTGAGATCCCCACACACTACTACAGTGATACTTGCTGATGACCCCAGCATTCAAAGTTATCATCGTCGGTGGAGGCCCCGTCGGGCTCACCGCCGCGCACGCTCTCCACCACGCTGGGATCGACTTCGTGGTCCTCGAGGCCCGCGATTCGGTCGTCCTTGACCAGGGCGCCAGCGTGGTCCTGGCACCACCCAGCCTGCGTGTGATGCACCAACTAGGTCTTTTGACGCGACTGTCCAAGATCAGTGGCGAGATCTACCAGGTCACCTCCTTCACGCGGGACGGGTATGCGTTCGCCGAGAACACGGCCATCTCTCGGGTTTTCAGAAAGAAGTAAGTGCGCTAGGCACAGCACGCCCTTCGGAAAAGGCATCGTACACTGACACATGGGATCTCTAAATCCCAAGTAGCCACGGAACCGGCATGACCTACTTTCATCGCGCCCAGATCATCGAGAGCATCTACGATGCACTGCCTGCCGCTGCGAAAGCCCGGTACTTTCTAGGCAAGAAACTCGAGACTATCGAGACGCACGACCACGGTGTACGCGTCACGTGTACCGACGGGAGCACGCATGAGGGTTCGATGGTGCTGGGTGCCGATGGGGCGCATAGCAAAACGCGGACCCTGATGCGCGAGCTGGCGCTGGCTGAGGGGCCGTCGGCTCAGCTTAAATGCAAAGACGAGGCCTCGTTCCCGGCACAGTACCGATGCCTGTGGTGCAGCTTTCCCAGACCGAGCGCCGCTGACGTAGAGGTGGGCCATGGTTCAGTCACACACTCCAAAGACATGTCGGTCATGTTTCTGGCCGGGAGGGAGCGAGGTTGGGTGTTCCTGTACGAGCGGATCCCAACGGGGCCGACGACGGAGCGGATGCGCTACACTGAAGCAGAAATGCAGGCGTATGCGGCACGGTTCGCTGACTTCCACGTCTCGAGAACACTGAAGGTCAAGGATGTGTACGCGGCGCGTTTGACTGATGGAATGGCGAATCTGGAGGAAGGGGTTCTGGGGCAGTGGAGCTGGGACGGGCGGATTGTTCTGGCAGGCGATGCGTGCCACAAATTCACCCCGAACGCGGGACAGGGGCTGAACAATGGGATCCAGGATGTGGTGGCGCTGTGCAACGGGCTGCATGCGCTACTGCGATCGACCGGTCCCGACGTACCACCGCACAAGACCTCTCTAGCCAAGGTCTTCGAGGTGTACCAGAAGATCAGGGCCGCGCCGTTGAAAGCCGACGCCGACCAGTCGCGGTCGCAAACGCGATTGGACGCCTGGGCAAGTCCATACTATTACTTCCTGGCTCGCTATGTTATTTCCTTCGCTTGGGTGATGTGGTTCCTCGTGGACTTTATCGCCGCGCGCGCAACGAAGGGGGCCTTAGTGTTGGATTATATCCCCGCGGACGAACCGTTTCCTGGCGCGCTGGTTAGCTGGGAACATCCGCTCAAGAATGAAGTCAAAGCAGGATAGGCCGGGTTGTGAGGACTCGTTGAGGGGAAGGAGGGCGTCTATTACGGTGGCCTTTACAATGTAGTTAATGCCCTCATCATCTGTATCTATTATTGCTCTCTCTCCCAGACCGACTTATTGTCTTCTTCTTGAAATAGCGCATCGTGCAAGACGACATAGCTCCGCCACGAAGTCTCGCATCAAGTGGAAATCAACACAATAGCCAAAGTAAGTGTGTGACCCTGCCGCCCGGGAAAAACGTGCCGCAATTGTGTCGAGCAAGCGAACGTCGTCCAGCGTCTCCGAGTCACCGGGATCGTTCAACACTTTACAAAAGAGGTTCATGACCCCTGAAAGAACATAGTAGATTTCATACCTGAGAGTAGCCCCCCCAAAAAAGAACGTCAGCCTGATGACACTTGGAATCGTACGCGGCATGCGAGGAGAGAATCGGATCCTACCAAAACACCTCCTGTGCCAATGCATCTTGCATGACAAGAAACTGTCGCAGAAGTGCGCGGCTCGCGTTGGCCGCAACCTCTAAGCTCAAAGTGATGCCCAAGGCTCGGCTGCTGGGATCGGCTATCCATGCCGCGCATCCCGTACTCATCTGATGAATGGCAGCAATGCAGTATTGGTGTTGCAATTGTAGCAAGCACGAGCGCAGGTAAATCTCTTCCTGGGTGAACACCACTCCCTGGTCATTGTTCGGCAGCTGCAGGCTGCGATACCACTCATTCAACTCATCATCCAGCTCTCGAACGGTCTTCAACAACTCCGCATCAGAGGCTAGTGCGGCTTGAGGAGAGTACAGCTTCCTAGTGATCTGGGATTGAACAAGGCTGAGCCTGATGTCTGTGGGGAAGAAAAGTGCAAGATTAAGATTCGCTGGGGTTTGGTGGTCGTGGTAGCCAAATTCCATGGCGAGTTCGTCTTCATCTGGGAGAGTGAGGTCACAGTAATCGTCGCAAATTGCTGGGGGGCGGCCGGTCCTGAGAGAGAGTTCCCTGTCGCAGAGGTAGGCTAACCAGAAAAGGAATCGACAGTGTAAGTTGAAGACGGTGGGTGATTTCTGAACGTGCCGATGTAGATGGCCCCCAAGGGTGAAAATGTGGCGGACCGAGGCCTGGAAGAGCGAGTCGACTGAATGGGGGGCACTAAAACGATGCAGTCGAAAAAGAGACTATAACAGTGATTAGCAAGCGGATTGTACCCCTAATATGCCTGCAAGGACGGGATAGCTAATGTAAAAATTCCCGGAAAGAAGAAGGTGTCCAGAGGATTTCAGGTCACCCAGCGAAGAGACCACAACTCCCTGATCATATGACACCATACACCTCCAAATCTTCAAAGAAACCAACAGCCGCGTTGGTAGATCAGAGAGCATAAACACAGGATTTGACTTACGAGCATCAGCAATGCTTGGATTCCATCTATAGTGGCCGCTCCATCCAAAGACTCTGACAGAAGATACTGCGCTTGGTGACCATACTCTTGAATATTATTATTGTCGGGCAGGGCTTGATCGAAGGGCCAAGAATTTATGAATGCCATGAAAGCAAAAATACAGGCTTTAGCCGTGGAAGGATCAGGTGAGGCATCCGATGCTTTATTCTCGTATGCCGCCTCCATGGTGTAATGAAATAGGTCTGGGTGGAGCAGAGGGAAAAAGCGATGCAGCCAGGTACGTCTGAAGAACTGGAATACCAACAGTACCTTGCTCCTATCCGGTAGGTCAGGATGATGATGGGTCTGGAAGTACTCCCTTGTAGTCGCCAAGCCGCCCACCGATTGGCTATGTCTTCGCGCACTGTTTAAAGACAGGCGATCGAAATCAATGGTCTGACCGGTGCGCGACTCCATCCACTGCCGACTTTCGATGGTGAAGAAGGGCAGTCCATTAGAGGCACGAAGATGCGTCGGGACATGTCCCATGATGTGATCGATGGCAACAGGGGAGCGATGGGACGATCCTCGTTGGGTATTCGAGTCAGAAGATGACTTGACCTGAGCTGTGGATCCATTCGCCGGTCCCTCTGGTGCTTGCTGCTGTCCTCCCATTGGAAACAACAATCTGCTCGATGAAAATATTAGCGTTTCTTGGGCATGGAACGCGACGTACATACACGCGATCGTCCGTTGAGGAAGGCTGGTTGAAACGGTGGCTGCGATCGAAGGTACATTGCAGGCCCTGCTGCAAGCACCATTCGCACGGAATCCTGTCCCGATAACATTTTATCTGGACATTATTAGAAACAGGCTTCAGGGGGGCGTGAGCGCCCCACCTTTTTGCGAAAGCAGGAGTCGCATGCAAGACGCGTGCGTGCGCCAAATTGAAAATCGTTGGCTTGCCGAGGCATTTGCGAAACGAAAGATGTAGAATGTAGAATGGTAGAATGTATAGAAGGGGTATTCGGAGACAAGTGCCAGTGATTGATGCCAGCCTGGAGCCGAGCGGGTGATTGCCTGGTGGCTGACTTATGCAGATGTAGATGACTAAGCAATGCATCACACTTCCAGCACAGCTGTGTATCGAACTATCAACTAGTTATTGCATAATCACGCCTTACGCAACATACAACCTCACCAGATTCTGCCTCTCATCACACAGATGAGCGCCCAAGCGATTTTCTACTTGTTAAGGCCATGAAAGGCCGCTTGAACAGGTGGAAACTCCTGATCCTGAACCGCCCACGCCGCCTCGGTTAAACCCGCATCCGGGAGCACGAGGCTGGCATTGGCGGTTACTGCCCTACCCGGTCATACATTTACTTGCAATACTGCATGGCGCAGATAGTGGGTCTCTGCCGAGCACACATGTTAGCCTTCCTAGAATTCAAGTGTACATCTGGAGGAACTACAGTAACCTGTTCCGAAATCACCTCCAGCAGATGAGTATAGGTAGGCTTCAAGATGACAGCGCTTGCAGTCGCTTGGGTGCTCTCGATAGGCTCCAAGTAGCCTAGCAGGAGTGTCTGAGCGATCAATGTATCGAGGGAGTTGGTGGTGGCCCGAGTCTGGGATTGGAGGAGAGGGATGCTGTCCTTCGTAAGTTGAAGCGCTGAGATGGTCTTCTCAAGAGTGATGACATCGACGCCGACCTGAAGAAGGATGGCAATCACGTCGTCGACGCCGGTGTTTGGGTCGATCTCCTGGCGTGGGCTTTCTGAGCTTGCAGCGGGATGAGAGTCTTGCTGAGAGCTGCCTTCGGAGATAGGTTGCCCGAGCAGTTTCGATGCTAGAACAAGCAGTGTGAAGATAGTGTAAGCAAGCTTCATTTTCATGAAAGTGTGTCGAGTTTGTGTATAGAGATGTGACTACAGGGGAAAGCAGGACTGTATTGGCTGAGGCTGGGTCTCGATAATAAGTTGGCAGAAAGTGAGTGGTAATTGCGGCCGGTGGTGTTTAGTTGTACCAGTATTGGGACCCAAATCAAGTCGTACAACCGAAAAAGAGTATAGCACAAAAGCCTGTGGTGGTAGGACTTGCGATGGCAATCAAGTGCAACCCGTTGATCTGTCATACCTATTAGAGTTTGGTACCTGGAGAGAGGGGCCTGGATGGAAATGCATAAGACGTAACTCGGCACATGCTGTGGCTTGAATGATAGTCTGAGACCCGATAAGCTGCTTGCACGAAGGTAGAACAGAAATAGCCAAGGTGTGGTTGTATGTGATCAAGGCAAGTCAGTATATCCAAAGTACAGAACTTTAGCAGCCATCATATAGTCTACCCCACTTCATTGCACCAACATTCCAGATCTTGTTCGGGTGAAGCCTCGAATGCAGTAGTGTTCCTACTTCAACCTTGATTTATCCCACTTCCAAGAACTTTCAGCCCGCGTCAGCCCGCGTGGGAAAAAGGTAAAGTATGAAAATAATTATTTAAGAATAGTACCCCTCTGTAGCAATGGCCTTCCCCACCCTCTGCATGTATTGACTTTTGTAACTGGTATTGGCACGGTTTCCAAGCTTCGCCCAGCTGTTGAGATGAGCAAACGCTTCATGTTTCTCTAGTAGTGACTTCAATCAACCGCTATATCTGAGTTCTTTCGCCGGATAATTTTACCGCTACGGGGAACGACCCATAGCATCTTGGGTATCGATACTCAGCTTCGGGAAGGAGCTGCGCAACCGTGTAACTTACATCTGCTAACCCTTATATTACTTATATAGCCAGCATCAAGAGATACAAGGATCCCAAATATCGATAGACGAAGATCGGACTTTCGCCTACCCCACACGCGGGGTTTGGCTAATCCTTCACGCACACGTCTGTGTGTCCCAGAAGACAATGCAAAAATTTTTTGGCGTGGGTAACATTCCTAAGCGACGTTCTGGGCCGCATTGTGCAGACCATCCCCGTCCACTCTTTTTCCTTCAGCATCCCACTGCTGCGGGGTCTGCATTAGTGCCACTCGCTTGGTGCACGGGAAGAGAGCTAATCCCAGAGGAATGATTGGCCTACACGCTTGATATCCTTGCAGATCAACATTGACCATACTGGATTCGATAACAATACGGGCTTATATTTGATGTCACGTATGCATGTCCCCTCACGGTGGTGAAATAATATAAGCCCAGACTGACGGTGAGGGAAACCCCAGAGAATTGCAATAATTCAGACACGCACACTTCTCACTATGTTCTCAATCCATTTGACAATACTCAGCCCCACAGGCTTGTTTTACTTGGGTGGGATCTGGTTTGTGTCTCGTCTCGTCCGCGCCTTGTACAATGTCTCCCCCTTCCACCCCCTCAGCCACATCCCAGGCCCAAAGCTCGCAGCTGCCACATTTCTGTATGAGGCTTGGTTTGATTTGATTAGAGGGGGTCGCTTCACCCATGAGATCAAGCGATTGCACGATATTTATGGTTCGTTGTACCGCTGCCACACTTGGTCCTGTATCTGACGCCGAGAGACCAGGCCCGGTGGTGCGCATCAACCCAGAGGAGCTGCATTTCAACGACCCCAAGTTCATCGACGAGGTGTACCCCACCGCCGGGCGCACACGAGATAAACAGGTTCACCATGTCACCTTTGCTACCGGCCCTACTGCTGAGTCGATGTTTGCGACTATTGACCATAAACATCATCGCATCCGACGCGGCGCGATGAACAAATTCTTCTCGCGTGCACAAATTGCGCGGCTGGAGCCTGAAATCAAGAGGCTGACGGACCAGCTCTGCGAGAAGATTATCCGGCTCGGTAGGGATATAAGCCATCTCCATTGTGAGAATCTCGCTCAACCCCTGATTCCCAGGCACCAAGGACCACGAACCACTCGATATCACCACCGCGTATAGCTGCTTCACCGCGGACGTCATCTCCGGCTACTGCTTTGGCGAGTCCTTCGGGTTCGTCACGCAGGAGGGCTGGGAGCCCAACTTCCGAGACGCCGTTGTGGGTCTATTGGAGACGATCTTTCTCTTTCGGTTCATACCTGTAACCAAACTTCTGGTACCTTTAGTCCCGTTCCTGTGGAGATGGCTGCCCCGATCATTGCAGGTGTACATGGACGAGTCGACGGAGAAGATGCCGGCTCGCGTCCGCCAAGCGAGGCGGGAGTTCGAGACGGGGACCATCCCCAGCCGGCCGACTATCTTCCACGCCCTGCTTACTTCTTCATTGCCGGAGGCTGAAAGAACCGACTACCGGTTGACCGGGGACGGTTTGTCGCTAAACACCGCGGGAACGGAGACAACCGCCGTAAGTACCACCCTTTCAACGTTCAGATCCGTTCCTAGTACTCAACAAATATGCAGTGGACCCTTACAGTCGCAACCTACTACCTCCTGGACCAGCCAGAGACGCTTGCCCGCCTTGTGGAGGAGCTCCAAGCCGCCGACGCCTTCAACCGAACGTGGAACGAACTCGAGAAACTACCCTACCTGAGCGCGGTTATCGCCGAGGCACTTCGCCTGTCCTACGGAGTCAGCCCGCGGAGCCCGCGGGTTGCGCCGAACGAGCGCCTCGTCTACCGTGGACGGTTCCAGGGGCGGGAGATCGTCTACGACATCCCCCCCGGCACGCCCGTGGGCATGTCCAATGCGATCAATCACCACAATGAGGAAGTGTTTCCAGATTCGCATACTTTTAGGGTGGAGCGATGGCTTGAAGCGGATGAAGCCCAGCGTCGCCGGATGGAAACGAGTTTGACCTCGTTTTCCAGGGGAAGCCGCTCATGCGTTGGAATCAAGTATGTGCCAGCCTTGCTATAAACCGTATACGACTGTGCTCACGCCCCATGCTAATCTCTATGACAACCAGTCTCGCATACTGTAACCTCTACGTGGCAATGGCGGCCCTCGCGGTGCGAGTGCTCCCCCGAACGAAACTCTACCAGACGACCGTGGAGGATGTGGCGTACGATCATGATGTTTTTGTAGGCGTGCCGAAACGGGAATCGAAGGGGGTGAGGGTTGTGGTTTCTTGAAGGAAATATGACAGTGAGGATGAGTGGATGGTCAGGCTTTCTTATGTATGGCTAGAATCATGCACGCATTCATCTAGTAGGGGTCATTCTCATATCATTAATCCAGAGCTCTGAAGTGTGAAGGCAAAGACACACTACGATCCAATACGTTCCCATCCCTGTAAGGCTATACTGGATTACTGATGAGATGTAAAGCCGGCTGACATGGCAGGATCACTAAGTTGCCCACTCGTAGGCTTGAGAGATGGTTACGGTGGGGGCGGGGCGGGGCGGGCCGGGACGGACCGGCGGGATTCTCCACCAGGACGACAGTCAAGCCATTTGTGCTACTTGAGCTGAGAAGGCCACTAGTGAATATTCTTGACAGCAAGAAAGAGGCACACAGAGTACTACATGCCTAGAGATTTGCAGCCATGCTCACCTGTCTTTATAGTGTGAATGCCATCAAGAGCCTGGCCATCTGCATTCAATGAGTATAAACACATCAAATGCCATTAACAGCATCATTGATAGAGCACACGATAAAGGGATCTTCAATCTGGTCACAGCTTCAGGTACCACGCTCTCTCAACCTTGTATAAACTCTAACCAAGCATCTAGATGATATGCAGGGGTTCCCAGGGCCGTCAGATGATTCTTCACCAATTAGGATCCCCACACACAATACGCAAGATAGCCCTACCAGAAGCCAACCTCAACATTTCCAGTTCAAACAAAGCTCATTCCTTGTAGTACTACATCATAGAAGCATCATGTATGTCCAGCATACCTATCCAGTACCCCTATATACCCACCAATTTCACCCCGAACCCGCGAGTCCAAACCCCCAACCCCAATCTCGCTGCAAAAAACACACATCCAACCTCCCACTCCATCCACCAACATACCCTTGATCTCATCTCCAACCCCCTCTACAAAGATCCCAACGTCGCACAATGCCCCTATGACGCCCCCATGACGTCCCTACCCTCGCGCAAGCCCCCAAAAAAAGATTGCCGCGACTGGGACTCGAACCCAGAATCTGCACTCCACACCGCTAGCATAAGGCTAGTACGGGGGCTCTGCAATGTTAATACCACTACACCACCGCGGCTGTTGTTGTACTGTTGTACTCGAAACTAAAACATAGCCCCACCTGCCCTATTCGTTTTAGGGCGCTACGGCCCCACAGCGGGGCTGTGGGGGCTGAGATCTTGGTGTTGGATTTTGTGGGATGTGATGCTGGGTTTGGGATGGTTTTTGTATGTGTTTTCTGTCTGTTGGCGTGGGGTTTGGGGTGCTGGAGTGGTGAAGGTATGAGGATAGGGGGAGGTTGGGGAGTGCGGTGGAGGACGCTTGTGATGTCATTGTAATTAAGTTACTTAGTTGGTGGTAGCCGGGTTGTCAGATCGGGGTAAGGACTACTGTGCTTAAGCTTCAGGACATCTGTTAGAGTTGGATTTGAAGAGTTCTAGTAGTATTGACTCTTGCTCACTCATGCGGGATACTTTGGGGCAATCACACTCTTCTTGAATACTTACATATTCTACAAAAAGGGCCTTTTTCTTGTAAGCGGTAATGAGGCTACCTATACGATTATAGTATCACAGCGTAGACAAAGCCGTCCTTACAGTGATTATGACCCCTGCAGTAGCCTGGACGGCCCGATTCCAGCGGCTTGGACTGACGTGGGCCCTCTCGGCCCCACTAACTTATAGGTGTGGGCCGCTAAAGCCATATCGTTGTGTTACTCGTAAGAAGATCTTGTGTGGCTGGGATGCTGCGACCGACCGACCGCTCCACCACCCAAGCCAGGAAAGGCGATCAGCCTCCGAGCTTTGCTCTGCTCACCCACAACAGTGGAGGACGCTGAGCTTGCGCGTTTTTCGTGACTTTCCGCGGACGGACAATCACAATCACGCCAACGCAACGGTTGACGACCGGTTTGGCTACCCGCCGCTCTTCGAGCCGGACACAGCGTGGGAGTATGGCCCCGGGATTGACTGGGTCGGACAAGTCGTGAAACGCATCACAGGATAGTCCCGGGAGCTGGACATGAAGGCACACATCTGCGAACCTCTAGGCATTGAACGGATGAGCCTCTGGCCGACCGGCATAAATGGGCAAGCCAGACAGGCTTTGAAGGAGCCCTTCCTGACCGAGGGTGTGAGGGGGTGCTTTGGCGGGCAAGGTGTATACGGCGCCATGGAAGAGTTTTTGAAGGTTCTTCATTCGATCCGGCAGATGACGGGAAGCTCCTCACCAGCGACTCGATTGCCTAGATGTTTCGGCCACAGAGGGATGGAAGTGATCGCGCTTGGTTCACCCCACTCCGCCGATGGGCGTGAGCCCTCCAGGCTGGTGTTTAGACCCGACATCCAGGCTTAACAGCCTTTTAGCAATAGCCGACGATTGGCCCAGGCGGGTTCCAGAAGACACACTTGGGCGGAAAATGAAGGCCCATTTTTTGAAAGGCAAACACTGTCATGAAACAAGTCTATTTATGTGTAATATAGACACTTTACCAAACATAGAATTCCCCTTCCGCCGCTCCCACCCCCCGCCCCCCTTTCCTGAACAATTGTCCGCTGCATTTATGTCTTAAGGGTAGACTTCCTTTTCTTAGTGATACCTTGTTACCGAGCTGCGCTTCGCCTATCTCATTCTGAGGACATTGGTCCAAGATTTGGCTTGCGAGCTACCATCAGAAACATCGGAGTGACCAACTTTTTCTCCCCTGCAACCCGATACGCATTCATCACCCTCACCATGTCCATAACGCGACTCCGGGTTCCTGGAGCGAGGAGGCCCAACATCTCGCCTGCTCTCAGAAACCGACCGCCCCAGCGCGAGGAAAACAGCCGCAGAAACGCCGCCACGAGCCCGCAGGCAAGGGTCTCGACGGCTCCGCCCATCCACTTGAACGAACCGTCAATGAGCTGGTACCAGGGCAAGCCTGCGGCGGCGGCGGCGGAATCGGCCAGATCTTCCGCCGCGCGGAGCTCGAAGCCGACCGCTCGCATGGCGTCGACCACCTCGGCGGTGGTCCGGAGATGCGGGCAGCCGGCCACGCGTTCCAGGTCCTGGTGGCACTCGCGGTGGTCGGCGCGCGTGACCTGGTATCTGTCCGTCATGGCCAGCTCGTAGACGGCGAGGAAGCCCCCGGGCTTGAGGAGACGAAAGACCTCGCCGTAGACGGCGGTGAGGTCCGGGGCGTAGCACGTCGCCTCGATGGAGTACGCCCGGTCGAAGGAGTCACTTTCCAAATGCGTGGCGATGAAGTCCCGGGCCACGAAGCGCACGCGGTCGGCCTGCCCGGCCTGCTCGGTCAGCCGCGTCGCGCGCTGGACCTGCGCGGCGCTGATGTCCACCCCGCAGATGTCCACCTCGGCGAAGCGGGCGAGCTCGCGCGCGGGGCCTCCGAGGCCGGATCCCAGATCCAACACGTTCTGGTCGGGCTGGAGGCCCAGTCGGAGGGCGAGATAATGCTCGTGACGGATCATGGCTTGCTGCACGGACTCGCCCGGGTAGCGACGGCACACATGGAAGGACGTGCCCCAGGCCCACTCCATGAAGCTGCTGCCATTGCTGTAGTAACTGTAGCAAGAAGGGTGTTCTCTGTGAGCGTTGTGGCTGTCCGATAATCAGGCCAGTTCGACGACTACTACTTACCCGTCTGCTGCTTGGGCTTCACTTGGATTACCCCCCTAGATTGGTGTCAGAATGGCATTCTCGTCGCCCGCTTTGCGCTGGATTACCGGTGGAAAGGCCCCTTGACTTTGACGTTGTGGCATACCTGCCATTACGTCGGGGACGGACTTTGCTGCCTTGAGGATCATGGGTTATCTGGGATATCCGGCCTCCAGCAGGGTATGATTCCGTCTTCTTGGTTTTTTATTTTTTTTTTGGTCAATTAAGTAACAAGTGACATTCTTAAGGTACCTTTGGAGAATTGAGTGGAAAAGTACTCATCGTGTGGCTTAGAAGCTTGGGTCCATGACCTCAACACCGACCCATGGTTCCGTCCCGTCTCCGTAGTATCTAGTATCCGCGTGCGATCAGCAACGAACTGGCCCATGGCACAACGATGACCGTTACATACCAAGTGAATTCAATGAGAAGGTGGAAGAACTCGCAACCAGATGTTTGCAACCGTCATCATGATCATCCGTCATCATGATCATGTGCATGACACTTAGTACGCTAGGAATATCTGTTCGTCTAGTACACCTCAAGCTCCTGGTCCTGTATAATTCGAAGAGCCTTGTAGTTCGTAGCCACGTCTACTCGAGTCTTGCTCACAGAACGAGGAACTTGCTGGTGTCCCCCGCCTAACTTAGGTAGTAAGCTTCCGAGAAGGCCCAGTATTCTGTTGACGACTTAATTTGAATACTAAGGGCTACTACTAGATTACGTATGATCTAAGAATTAATCTTACTGCAGAGGTTTTACCGGAGTATCATAAACTCAGTATACGAAAAAGACTAGTAGATAGCATTCATATTACCAGAGAATACTAGCAGCAAACCTTGTCCAAGAAGCGAAGGACTTTTCCACTTCACTTCACCTGGATCGCATGGCAAGCTCTCTGCGAGGAACCAGCAGGTCGCACCGGGCTCGGCCGCCCTTCTGGGCGAGGTCCCCTCCATCTCGCCGATTTGCGCCTCAAAGCATTGTTTATGCGGTTGGTTGCAGGATTTGATGGAGACTCGAAGAAAACGCGTGTGATTTTGGTAACAATCCAGACTGTGTGTGACCAAGCCTATGTCCGGTTGCAGACAGAAGAGTCGCAATTAGTGGGCGAGCTCGCACCAAGCTGACCAACAGACTTATTACCGTTCTCTCCGTACCAATCTCCTTTGTCACATCCGCGTTTGGGATGAACTCTCTACAATTTGGCCAGAGTCCTCTGGGCCCTTGGATCCGACTGGCTGCCTCGGTGCCGTTGTTGGTTGTGTGTGTGCGTGTGTGTGTCAATTTTGTGGAGGGGAGGATTCCGGTTCGAGCATTAGTCGAAAAGGGATTGGCCTGGGTACGCCAAGTTTAACGACAAAGTTTGGCGAACAGCTAAGTTGGGATGAGAGTTCCATCCTCACACTAGCGTGGTTTCGTGCTCAGGAACAGGTGAAGCTGGGGGCGAGGGATGATATGAGGGTGGTGTCGACGCAGGGCCTGGGAGAGGTCACATGATGTTCATCGGATTATCAGGCCCTCGGGCCCCTCTATCGCATTGATCAATTTATATTCATTTCATTCCTGTTAAACGTGGCTGCCAGTCAAGTGGAGGGTGAATTGGTGAGAAGAGAAGATTAATCCCGTGGATGTTGCGAACTTAACTAATTCCTATGCAGGTCCTGGTTGCTTGCTACCTTTTGCCCCTGAACGTGACCTGCGGATAGGGCTGCGGCCCGACGAGAGAGAGCACCGACATCGAGCAAAGATTGACTTTGTCCTATGAGACATTTTGATTTTGGTACCGAATTAGAGTTGGCTCAAAAATAAGAGCAACGAGACAAATTTGAAACACCCGATTCCTGGCACCGAGCGTCGATTTCCCCGGAATCTCAACCATCTCTGACCGCCGCCGGGGCCAGTCCCTGTCGATCATTTCTTAAAATTGAGCCCTCTGCACATCACCTCAACATATCCTCAGGGCTGGGGTTCGATCAACACAATCTTCATGAACCATACTATCATTACTGTACCACAGAACTATAAAGATACCCGAGTGTCCTCCGAAGTTGACCTTCTCTTACAGCGTTCAACAATCATCCTGATTGACCTTCCATTCCCCCGAAATCATCTCCTTTCAATATCCTCACCTTACTATCAACAACTCACCCACAATGAAGGTCTCCATTCTCTCTGCCCTCACCGTCGGCCTCGCTGCCGGTACCCTCGCCGCTCCCACCAAGGTTGAGCGCGACCTCCCCACCGTCACCGGTGTCCTCTCCGGCATTGGCACCAAGGTCGACGCCCTGGGCTCCGCCATCCAAGCCTACAGCGGTGGCGACGTGGCCAGCGTTCAGCAAGCCTCCGACAACCTGGTGAGCGCAATCAACAGCGGCAACAGCCAGGTTAGCGGCACCTCGGCCCTCAGCGCAACCGACGCCCTCGGCCTCCCCGGGCCCGTCGACACCCTTAAGAAGAAAATTTCCACAGTTATCAGTGACCTCGACAACAAGAAGACCTTGATTGTTGATGCCGGAAAAGGCGCCCAGACCTACAACGACTTGACCGAGCAGAAAGCCGCTGCGGAGAAGTTGTCCGACACGATTGTCTCCAAGGTACCCGAGTCGTTGCAGAGCCTGGCCGGTACCGTTGCTGGTGGCATCTCGGATGCGATCGAGGCTGGTGTGAAGAACTGGTCGGATCAGGCTTCCAAGGGCGACGCTCAGCCTCAGGCCAGCCCTGCTGTTGAGACTGCTGCTGCCCCTTCGGCAGCCCTCGCTGCCGCGCCTAAGGCTGCTCCCACGGCTGCGCCTGCTGCCGCTCCCAAGCCTGCTTCCAACGCTGCCCCTGCTGCTGCCGGGGCTGCTCCCGCGGGACGCTGCGTGGCTCGGTATTGATTTACTACTTGGTCCATGAAGGACGTGGGCACGGAGACCTATTGGGAAGAAACAGGAGTTGTGCGATATCATTGGTTTTGTTGTAATGAAATTCACTGTACGCGTCAGAGCCTTCCAACAAGGCTGATAATAATCAGTCTTCTACGTACTTAGCATAGTAGAATCTCAAAGTAAGCGACTTAACAGATTTTGGTGGTGGTGGTGGTGGCCCAGGAGCAACTTAGGCACTAAAGAATGGCCAGGCCATGGGGGCCAGACTCTACCTAGTACTTAGCGCCGTTCACAACTATCTTATCTCGTATCTCCCCACTATCTTCACTCATCATTCTGAACATTTCTTCAACACCTTGAGCTTTCTCTAAGACCTACCATCACAGCTCCCACAAACCATGTTAGATGCCCTTAATAGCCTTCTCCAGAGCATCCAGCTCGCTCCCCACGAGTGCCGTGTGAAAGAATACCTCGAAGCAGCCACCAGAGGTAACCTGGACCCCCTGTCTGTCTTCTTATTACCGCAGTACCCAACTAAAACCTCGCAGAATCTGTTCAGAAAGACCTTCGAAGAGTACTCAAACCTCTCAACCACCCTTTGTACTGGGCCTCGCATGGTTCGGAGAAGACCTGGACGGTAAAGATGTTCTGGCGTCTGTAGCGGCCTACGCCGCGGTAATGGTGGTCTTCATAGGAACTTCCTCCTGAGTTCGTCATGTACACGGAAAGTGACTTTCATTTCAGAGCAGTCATTTTGCAATCTCGGATATGTAGTTTCCGCAATGCAGTCGTCACACTCGCTGCCGCTGACCGCCAACCGGTGGCCTTAGCTACCATTAGCTACCAGATAGTTTCCTCGCAGATAGCCTGGCGACATCTTCCACCTCTCTCGCAGGTTTCATCATGACATATTAACCACACGAGCAGGTCTTGTCCACGACTTTCTTCCGACTCTACCGAGCTATTAGAGGAAACGCTATTGGTGATATCATTCGACAAGCCGGGACGTCAAAGTACATGTTGTTGTATCTCATCCTAGGCGGCATCGCGACCATCACCATCACGATGCCCACGCCCTACCAGTATGTCTCGGCTATCACAGCGGCCGATAATGGCACGGTTCTTGACCCTCCTAGCGGTGCTGTTCGAAATGACATTCATTCGGTAGGCGTTTGAGAAATGGGCGGGCACGCCCGCTCCGGGGGTCATGACCGAAGGGCCGCCGCCCGCAGTTGGCGTGTACATGGACGATGGCCGAGATGAACAGTACAACTACACTCTCCTGTCAGATAATACTCTCAGTATCTGAAATCGTCATGCCAACGATGATCTGCAGGTCAATCAGGCTCCCCGATCGGGAATGGAGAACCACAGTTACGTGGCCGTGGAGTACTTAACTACGAGATTTGCGCTTTGCCGAATGTTTTTCAGAAAAACAGAAACAAAAAGTTGAACAGAAAACAACTTCTAATATCTTATAGCAGCATGAGATCTAGTTCAATCACTACTGCTTTTGTCTAAATGTTCACCTTCTGCTAACAACATGTTGGAGTATGAATCGAATGATACAAATTTATGTGCCGTCACTTGTGGATGAAAAGTCTTTATGAGACTACAATTGGATAACTCAGCAATTGAACAACATTACTATGTCATTAAACCAATATCACACCGCATAACAAAAAGTCTCGATACGCTTATCACCCCCGCGCCATCCGACAGGGTGAATCGGCGAGCTGAAACCCGCCGGCGGAGGACCGGCGGAGGATCGGGTAGTGCTTACTCTGCGGCTCCACTGCAGTGCAGTAGGCGGCCAAGCAAACCGGTCCATCTAGCCAATGCTTGGTCAAATCTTGGTCCTAACAGCTCAGTACTAGTACCGCTGCAGGATTGCGGGTTGAGTGCTACGCGATAAGTGGGATTATGCTCCGTACTTGGGTTTCGCCTCACGCTAGGGTCTCCCACTGCTTATGGGTTGGTAGGTGAAATGCCGGTTTCTACATTGAGGAATGAGGGGTACTGTAGGATAGGAGGGTTTGTCCAGACGAATTACATCCTGGCTCCGTACGGTCTGATAACATACTATCTTCTTCAGGAGCTCGTCAGTGGCGAACCCCGTCAACTGAGGGACATCCCAGCGAACCAATCTTTCGGCAGATTCCAACTTACTTCTCAAGGTACTTTTGAAGTGCGCGCATAGCCCGCACAAGGGTCGCGCCAGCCTCGCCCCCCTCTTTGCTTTCTAGCGAACCTTCCCGCAACTCCAGATCAAAGACATGATCCGCCCCGTTGACCGGAAAATACTGCACCTCAGCACCACCCTCCTGTAAAGTCGCCACCAGCCTCTCACTCTCACCACAAGAAACCTCCCGGTCATCCGTCCCATGCACAACAACAGTGGCGGGGAAACCCGGCCCAAGAACGCCGTAGTCCAGCGGGAAAAGCCCCCTCACGTGAACAGCATGCCCATACCCAGGCTCCGCGACCGCCCCATCCAGCCCTAACCCCACCACCCTCTCCCCGAACCCAGTCTGCCCCGTCAGAAAATCCAGAAACACCCCGCGCTCCAGAAGCAAATACAACAAGGGAAGCCGTTTTCGCGTGCGCATCTCCTCTTCAGAAGACGGGAAATCTTCCCCGACGCTTATCTCACTCCGCGCAATTCTTTCAGAGACTCTGTGTAAAAGGTTTTCCGCTGTAGCAGGATCAACCGCCATCGCACCGGGTAAGTAAACGCTCTGAGCCCATTTCTGACTCCCGAGGTCTAGCAGCGGGTAGAGCAGCCAAAGCGCCTTAGGGGGCGGAAGGGGAGTTTGGCCAGTCTGCTCTGCTGGGACTGAAGGAGACGTAAAGTGCAGCGCAGTCACCAGAGCGCACCAGCCTCCGGCGCTGGCGCCTGCCAGAATGATCTGGCCGGGATCGGCGGTGCAGTTTGGGTGCAGGCGGCGGAGAGAGCCGCCGGCCACCCATTCGTAGGCCACGATCACGTCTTCGATGGTCGCGAGGCCGGTCGATTCGGGCAGGACCCTGTAGTCGGCGGAGATGAGGGTCCAGTTCTGGGAGAGGGCGTGGTGGTGAAGCCAGCCGGGGATCGCTTTGCGGCTGCCTGTTATCTGTGCTGGTTCTTAGCTTTGAGGTTTCTTTTCCTTGCTTCGCTACGCTTTTCTTTTCCTTTTCTTTTGTTTTCTTCGATGGCGATTTCTGAGGTGCGAAATTGGAGACACTTACGAGATAGCCACCGTGAAACCACAGGAGAATTGGCTTAGGAGTGTTTGAGTCCTGGTCGGGAGGGAGGTACACATCGAGTTGGATCTCTGTGGTGAGGTGGGTCTTGTAGACGTGGGTGTGTTTCTCATATGTCCTGGTCGTCATCTTCGTGCTTGTTTGGCTGCAGACACGTTTATACAAGTTCTTACCGATGATCCACGCAGCCCCTTGTTAAATACCCCGAAAGAGATAAAGTCACCAGGAGTTGGAAGGGTCTATCTGCCTGATATGGAGACTATACAATCTCAGTGTAAGTTGCAAGGTGGGGCTAGCAGCAGTCTACTCAAGTGAGGGGTATGGTGCGATACAAAGCATGCAAACAGATAAGGGAGTTAGACTTGTGACATTCTGCTGCTATCTGCCGTTGATTTCTTTTCACTATCACGGACTACTGGCATTCTCTCCAGACCTCACGTCCCCCCTCCGTCTTTTTGTTGCGCTGGTCTTGATTGTACCTGACTGCTGTCACTGTTCCAACTCTTGTTGACTAATTATCCACTGCATCAGTGGTCGTGAGGGGTGATGGTGTGGTAGGCGTCATCAGCATCATCGCCGCGCTTGTGGGGAGTTATTGTGTGGTAAGCGTCGTCCGCATCATCACCACGCTTGTGGGGAGTGATGGTGTGGTAGGCGTCATCCGCATCATCACCACGCTTGTGGGGAGTGATGGTGTGGTAGGCGTCATCCGCATCATCACCACGCTTGTGGGGAGTGATTGTGTGGTAAGCGTCGTCCGCATCATCGCCACGCTTGTGAGGAGTGATTGTGTGGTAAGCGTCATCCGCATCATCACCACGCTTGTGGGGAGTGATTGTGTGGTAAGCGTCGTCCGCATCATCGCCACGCTTGTGAGGAGTGATTGTGTGGTAAGCGTCGTCCGCATCATCACCACGCTTGTGAGGAGTGATGGTGTGGTAGGCGTCATCAGCGTCGTCGCCCCGTGCTGCAATCATGCCGGCATCTGCTGAGCGAGCCTCGTGAATAGACACACCATCTGGAAATCGTCAGTCATGCACCACGGATAGAGGCATTCTACCTACCCACTGCGGGGACCGGGGCAGCAGCAAGCTTTCCGGCCAGGAAGGCCAAGGTGACAAGGAAGAACTTCATCTTCACGGTATCAAGAGACGCAAAGAATTGTTCTGTTGAAGTGAAATTGGTAAGTTTGACTTCTCGAGGCGCTTGCCTGAGGGGTCTTATAGCTTCGCACAAGTCGTAGAGCCGTATAAACCTACATACATACATGTAACTCGGCATGACCGATCTGGCCGGGGTCACTCAATACCCAAGCGAAATTAGGGCATGCATTAGTGCTTGTTAGCACCTTCCCAGCGAGCAAAAGCCGGTCTGATCTCACTTCTTCAACCCCTCCGGAGCAGTCCTCCCCTGCCTATTGGTGCCCACCTGCATTACGGAAGAAAGTTCGTCAGGAATCTGACATTCAGTATCATCTTGCGGCTCCCCATACAGATGCCTTCTCGCACAAAAGGTATTGAAGGCCAATGGCAAATATGCCTCACCTCTCCACATCGATCGGAATCGGGAGAGAGATATCTTCACTCCGGTATTGTGTCTGCAGGAGCCTTGCCCTCGAGTACAGCGGTCCCCGCATCTTACGCGAGCTCACGAATCAGAAGGATTGTTGAATGGCGTTTAGGACGGGTCAGGCAGGATTGCTGAATCCATGAACAATATTCTGCCATTCTATACCTGGGACTAGAACATTGAAGATGAATAAGACCAATGGCAAATATGCCTCAATCATTCCTACCTGTTGATCCGTCACCAAGACGATCTTTTGCAGTGCTCTTAACTCCGAGCAGGGCCTCCGAGATGCAGAGCCGCAAGGCGATACCAGGGAAAACGCATAAGCTTTGCGGCACAACGTCAGTGCTTTCTGCACGGACATTGCCATGGTCGTGCGAGCAGTACAACCCCGCCTTACATCGAGATTCAGGTATTATACCCTGGCGGTATTTTACCTCATCGAGTTTGGTCGTCCAATCCCACCTATTCCGAATTAGGTACTGAGGTTGGCTGGCAGTTTTCTGAATAAATACTGCATTGACCCTGCAATCGACCCTACGGTGCTCAATCGGACCATTCTCTTCCCTCTCCTTTCTCACTCAAAGAACTTTGTTGAGCAGGCAGGCAGCATGGATGCCAATTTCGAGAAGTTGCCTCAATACGATGAGAGCAACTCCGACTCCAACAGTCTCTTCTCGGAGACTGGAGGTCTACTGGGAAAGGACGCTCCCATTACCCAGAGAAGGCCAGCCTGGAGACGATGGATCATGCCTGCAGGCCATCTTGCCCTGCTGGTGCTCTACAGCTCGATCTTCTGCCTTCTGGTGCGACATGTTCGCAAGATCGAGAAGCAAAATGAGCATGTCGTCTACTGTATGAGTTTACGAACAACCCCTTCCCAATTGCCCGCTCTGACATGAAATCACTGAACCTTAGCACCTGCACAAGAGGCTGTGAAATTGGAGGCGATGGAGTTCCGTTCGTTACCCCTCCCTTTGCTCCACTAGCTTTCGCCTTATTGATGGCACTGACCAAGGGTTCAGAGGGCCAGCTCCGAATCATCAGTCCATACCAGGGTGACCCCAGCCCTGAACTAGATCAGGCCTGGAAAGAGCTACTACAGTGTACATACCCCCTCTGATTTGCAAGCAGCATTTCCCAAAGTAAAATGCTAACCAGCCAACAGACTCCAACATCTGGGTAACCGGCGACGAGCTATCGAAGATCAACAAGACCTCGATCCCTGTGCCCGGCGAGGAGGACAAATACTGGGTTGAGCTGAGTGTTGTTCACGAGCTGCACTGTATTGTCAGTCACCATCCGTCAATAAAGATTTAACCCTACTTGAGTAAAGATGGTATTACTAACTAGAGTTCAACAAAATTCAGAAACGCCTCCGCCAATACATCCACTCAGACTACTACTTCGCCAACATCTCTGCCGAAGACCGTCGTCTCAATGACCTCCACACCGGTAAGATCCTCCCTGACACAGAATACCTATCACCATTCCTCTAATATACTCCCGCGAGCAGACCACTGCTTGGAGATCCTACGACAAAGCGTCATGTGCCACGCCGACATCTCCATGATCACCATGACCTGGGAGCCCACGAGCAAGTACCCGGCCGCGGACTTCCAGAACGTCCACGAGTGCAAGAACTGGGACGTGCTGTACGAGTGGCAGAAGGAGCGGTCCGTCGATATGATGAAACCTGGGTTCTTGGTGCATCCTTATCTTGGTAAGTCCTTCTCGTTGGAGTAGTTGCATTGGAAGGGGGTTTTCTCGTACTCTAGTTCAATTTCTTTTCTATCTCTTGTTGTGTGATGATGGTCGCTGACTGCAAGTGTTTCGGCTTCCAGGCGTGCCGTTCCCGGATGGATATTACCATGGCATTGGGGCTGCGGATCCCGAGAATGCGATTGGGAAAGGTGGAGAGGATACGGGTATGGAGATGGAGATGGATTAAACGGCTTTTCCAAGCACAGATAAATGCACTCTCTGTGGGGATACGTCGATATATCGTGGAAAACGCGATCTAGGCGCTGCATTGTAAAGATAGATGAAATGCAAAATTGCACGGGGGTCCTTGAAACCCTACATTACAACAGTAATTAGTCGGTTGTGTTCAGTATGTGGTATCAAGTAGACTGCAGCAAGATCTACTGGAGATCGCCATCGATCTCGGAAGAAAATTCCCATTCGACTACAATTGACCAATACCACAAAGCTCTCAAATAACATTATCATCTCTTATCATAGTCTCACAGCAAGATTGATCACCCTGCCAGTCACTGTCACATGACACTTTCCCCACGATCCTGTACCGCTTCATATAAAACTCAAACCACTCATTAAGAGTCGTCTGCTCTTGCTCCCCGAGATGGTGAAACTCGGCTGTACAGGACGACTTGTCGAAGGATGAACGAGCCAGTGCACGCGAAGGGTCCTTTCCCGCGTACTCTGTATTGTTGCAGTTCAAGGTCAATTTCAGATGAGCATTGAACGCACCTTGGCATGGAATGTAAATGGCGCGTACCGTGATAACAACCCCCCGGCGCGAAAGCGGGATTCCTGCTCACGTCGAAGACTATCCCCTTGATAGCGAATAGGGTTGGTCGGGTGGGATCTGTGCCTGGTGCATGTTATTTGCAAGGTCTGGCCACTTGTGCTCGGTGTAGTTAGTTTACATACCATCGGCAAGGTGCAGTTCCTGTGGGCTGATGGGGTTGAGTTTGTTGAGATTGAGGGATTCGGGATACTCCATATTCGAGTCATTACTTGGTAGAGTTCCTCAGAGAAATATAGCAAGATATTGTAGTCTCGGTAGCGGATACTGGTCTTCTTATAGATGATCCCCTGGAACAAGAACTGTGGTATCTCCCTGCACTGCCTCCCCCCGGCTATTCTGTTTCACGGGCATAATCGGTTGCTGGCTATGGACCAGCCTGTGACAGGAGTTGGGTAGGTACAGGACTCACGTTCCCACGGAACACACAAAAATAAACCTCAGCAATAGTTCATCTGTACAGTACAAAGCGAGATCCTTTGTTTCTTTCCGCCGCCATGGTTCCGGGTCGGTGGAGATGGTAGCGAATCGGGTGGAGTTGCCACCCCGAAGGAACAACGGCACGAACATTCCTGCAGCATCATCGATTACGAATCCAATGCTTAACTTCAGTCAAGCTCATGCTTCCCTACCAGTAGGTAGAAGGTGTCTCTGCCACTTCTCGGATCCGAGTCCGCGGAAAGCCGTCGGACAACTGCGCGCTTATCCAAGGTCATTTTTCTCTTATACTACCTAGTAATCCAGAGTGAGAAAGATCGGCTAGACGCGCATATCACCAATACGGGAGATGCTAGTTTTATACCTCTTCACAGCTCGATACATTGCTCTTAAATCAATTTGAACACCCACCGCTCAGGCTATATGATACTTATACGCAATATCCATACCACCATTGACAACAACATCAAACAACAACAAGAATCCGCCCTACTTCCTGATAGTCTCTCGTCCCGTGACCCACTTCAAGCCATGAAGTCCTTTTCAATGCGCTCCGGCCAGATCTTGATACACGGCCACCTGGACGTTGGGGTGCAGGACAGGGTCGGGGGCCAGATGTACCCAGTCGTGAACTGCCTGATGGTAAACAGAATCCTTCCAAAGAAGGGCCCGCTGCGACGCGGCATCCCGTCGGGCAGACCCTCGATGATGTGCTTGAGGGCGCCGTAGCTGTACCAGTCGTTGACGCTGTACGCGACATCCTGCCACAGCGCGGTCGTGTTGTAGACGGCGGTGATGTAGGGCATGGCGTCGGTCGATTCCTTCGAGTTGGAAAGCGATTCGTTGAGGGGAGAGCCCTGGTGGGCAAAGATGGTCGCGGCCCCCGCGGTGGGAAGAATCATGGCGGGCGAACCGGCCGCGCCCGCTTGGTAACCGATCGCCGCGGCACGCCAGTACGCGTAGGGGGTGCCTGCGCCGTCGGCTTCGGGGACGTCGTTGCCGAATCTGTGTGGATTGTTAGTTAATCTCTCATGGACTAATGGGTTGTAGTCTAAGGATACGTACGGAAAAGAGGCAACGTGGAGATTGGCAGGCTGGGCAGATCCGATAAAGTGCGACTCGGGGTACACGTGCTGCCACAGCAGTTGTCAGTCTTTAAAGCTTTGAAGCCAACCACCGGATTCCAGAACGTACCTCCCAGCATTGGCGCATGGAGACGGTGCCGAAGGGGAGCCTCTGCGCGCGGATCGTGTTGAGAAGCCCATCGGAATAGAGAGAGCGCTCGGTGCCCGAGGGACGGAACTTCTCATGCTTCCAGATCGTTCCGGCCGAACCGTTGGCGAAAGGACCAACCAGACTCTGGGTCATGAAAAGCGAGTTATTGGCCCTCTGGGCCCAACCAACGACCCCGTACATCTTGGTGTCGGCAAAGGCCTGCATGAGCGTCTTCCATTCAGGGCCGTCGGGCTCCATGGTCTGCGACACATACTGCTCAAAGTCTTTGGGGCCGTTCGGAGTGCGGAAGGCAGGATAGCTAGGGGGCAACCGAAAGGGTTAGCTGTGGACACCATACATGCAGGATGAGACATACCCGGGGAAGTAGAGCTCTGGGAATGCGATGAACTTGGTGCCCTCGGCCGCGGCTTGGTGGATCATCTCAACCGACTGAGCGATAGTAGCATTGAGATCGTAGTTCCACCAGGTCGATTGGTCGGAAAGGGCATGGTAGACAAATCCAACCGGAGGCTTGCGGACGGCAGCAACCTTGAAGTTCTCAGGATCCCACTCAAAGCCAGTCGCAGAGTCACGCTTGATACGCGATTCCGAGGCAATGGGTGCGACAGCCGCGGCCTGGGCCGTGACGACGGCGGTGACCAGAAAGGTAGCAGCGGATCCAAGAAGCATAATTGTCAGACGGAGAGGTATTAGAGATGTGAGGGGCTGATAGGAACGAATGCACTAGAGCAGTCTTTATACTGATTCCAATCCATAGTGTATACTGGCCGCGTAGATACGAAGCCGCAACACCCAAGTATGCTCCTGTGTAGGAATGATAAGATGCTGGAATCCAATTCGTGAAACTCTGTCCATGATTCATTGGTGGGGCCCAAATGTCGAGCAATACCGGCGAAGCAGTCAATTCCTGAGCAGCCATGCTCTATCTCTGTCCTGAGGCAGCGTTGAAGAGAGAAAGTCCACGTCACGCACTCTTCGGCTGCAGAAGTTGGAGAGACGGAGGGTGAAGGGTTGGAGACTCCAACCCAGCACTCCGAGAATTCCAATTGCACATAGTTACTTATCTTGCCAGAGATAGCAGAGAGATAAGTTTGAGATTATGATCGCGAAGGCTTCGTCTTTATCAATTAATATTTTATCCTTGGTATCTCTTATTAATCACCCTGCCGGAGGACTGAGATGGGAGATACTTACCTCTCTGAAGTATGAAAGATGGTGGGATCCATTCCAGCATTAGGCTGCCGACTTCGGAGACGTCGATACGGCAATGAATGATTATGAAAAGGTTCAATAAGAGATAGGCGTGTCGTCAAACTTGCCAACTCGCCGTAAGTAGAATAGCCCGGTCATCAGTTGCTCTGGAACCTCAACAATGCTCCCCAGAAATTATTCCTTCATTTAACACTTGACCTCTTATTGTATGGCAAAGTCAATTGCCTTTCTGGTCTCTGCCGGAAAGCAAAACGCAGGCCATAGACGATCAGCTCGATAGAGTCAAACCTTATGCCACGAACAGCTGCACAGCAAAACATTGATACCGCAGGGCGGTTGTGTTCGCAAGAAGAACTCACATGGTTCAGGAATAGCGAGTTCCTGAACATCGTTCAGACACTGCAGCAGTCAACCTCGCCCGCTCGAACCGCAGAAAATAGTGCGGACATACATCTCGTGCTGCGGCACAAACTTCAACATCAGCCAGGCACCCTCTACATGCAGAGAAAGTCGCCCATGGTTTCGCCCAAGGATATCGCATCTGCGATAAGTTGGCCACCCTCCCCCTCCTTTCTTACCAAAACATCCTCAAAAGATATCCCTGGAAAGAGTAAACCCAAAACCGACGCGCCGGCCATCGACCGGAGTTGGAGATCTCCAATTCCCCACACTTCTCTCCAACTTCTCCAGGAAGGCTCGAGGGCCAATGCTGATCGATCTGAAAATCGTTATCTTTTAACGTCAGTTATGTACTAGACTCAATTAGACGAACTCCACTGGATAATAAATCGTGGCAGATATGACTAGGTGGGTCGGTGGTGGGGTTTAGACTGGTCGTCTTACCACGAATTCGGTACGGTAGATAGCATCAACATCAACCCAATTGACCTGCCTTGCCAAAGACTCAATGCGTAGATAGCCTTTGCTCCGGGGCACAATTGCTCGCTGGTGCTAGGAAACCGCGCACCTCCGTGATCCGCATGGGGGATGAGGTGCTGTACATACCTCAGCTACCGGACGAGGATCGGCTCTCCTCCCTTCCACCGCATCTACTCGACCGAAAGAGAGTGGAGCCCAAAGCTGGCAGCATGCTATATCCCGCATTCTTCAGGCTGCAGCCAGCACCGGTCGGAGTTTGGTATCCCACAAGCGATTTGCGAGAGATTTGCGCAGTATTGTTAGGTACTCGGGAACAAGGCTTCTGCCAGCTCAAATCGCCATGCATCCACCCATTTGACCATATCACAGACTCACAGACGAACCAAGGCCGTGTGATTTGTCGAGATTTATTGTTGAAAGATTAGTTCGTTGAGTTAAATCGACTTGCTTGTCCCGACTGGTGTAGCACAGACCCTTAGACCGCATCCGATTCAACATGAATTCTTGACACCAGCCGGAGTCTGCAAACAGAACCAGATTTATGTCTTTGCAAAGAGCTAACTGCGAAGCACATGAAAGGGAACCTAATTCAAGCAAGCATGCCAGCCAAAATAGACCAGAGATATTCCATATAACGAGGATATTTTCGTTGTCAATGATGCAAGCCCAACATACCACAATCCGACAAGTTTCATGAGACATGTAACCATTTTGACTAAGTAGTCTATACGCTCGTTTTCCAGGATCAGCTCTTTGGGCGTACCAGTTCATCAAACAAATACAAGACTTGACATCTTTAAAAACGACAAAAAATTGCAACCTTCTCCAGATGCACCACGCCCAACCGCTTAGAGGTCGTTGGCCAGTATCAATCCCCCCCGACGAAATGCTTCCTTTGGGTGTGGCCGCCGCCAAGGCCTCTCTGCATAGTTTTCCAATTAAATCGAGAATTCTAGATTTGTCTGCTAGCCGAAGCCAGCGCAGTTCCACGCAGCAGTACTATAGTCTCTTAGTCAGGTTCTCTTACCAAAGCCTGACTCGGGGTTACCTTTTGATTATGCAGCCGGTAAAAATCAAAATGATCCCCATCGGAGAGCAGACCATAAATAGGGCGAGATGGCTTGTTTGCTTTCTTTCGGCATCTTTACACCACCACTACTCCAACTACTTAATCACTTAATCAGTAACCCTTTCAACTAACCCCTTACTGTTACTTCTTCTAGAGCGAGATGGACTTACGCATGTACCCCAGAAGCTGGGACACCCCGGAAGATCTCATTTCTTCCGTTTTGGCCTCGATGGCCACCAGATGCTTAGTGGCATCATCCCCATCACCGTAACATAATGACCAATCCATATTTCCTGCAAGCTCAAGTTGCAGCGTATCAAACCTGGCTGCCGTCAGACAGCAAGCCGTAAACGGGTCAGGCTAGTATTCCGGCGACTTTGGGAGAAATTTGGACAACCACTACCCCCATCGCATATCAGCACTGTTTTTCCACGACCCAGGTTCTTCGAAACGGATTCTACTTACGCATGTATGCGAGCAGCTGGGCTACCCCAGCAGATCGTTGTTCTTGAGTCTTGGCCTCAATGGCCACGAGGTGCTTCCACACATCGTCACCTCGCCATAGCACAGAGATCAATCGACGTTTCCAACAAGTTTGATCTCTCTTTCGGGGGACCAAGCGATCATTCGGGTCTTATATTCGACATAAATACCGGCGGGATTGTTCTCGGGGCCTGATAGCCCTTTAACAGCAGCCTGAAGAACGAGGTCTATCCGGCTCCTGACCTGGGCCTCATTTGCCCGGGAACCTTTGGTTGCTTAGTGGCTCTAGGTCACGTATCGAGCGCTTTATCTGAGTATAACGTCAGTAAGTGTTGCCGTGGTAAAGCAAGTGACCGGTCCACCTAGGTGTTGCGGCAATTCCACCGCCGGTGAATGTCGACATCGCCGCACGACGGCCGCTGTTTCGAATACTTGACTAGCAACGCTCGCCCGTAACTTGAGGCGAATGATGTAATATAAAATGGACCCACGTATAGTATCCAGGAGTTGAAGTCCATGACAAGTCTCTCTGGACTTTGCCTCGATGCAGGCAAGGTACTTGAAATTATCGTTGCCGTCGCCATAGCAAAGCGACCAGTCCACGTTCCCCGTGAGGGTCTTCTCTGAGATCGATTGAGATCTCGAATGGTGATCAGGTCCTCCTCGTTGATCTTGGATGAGAGGGAAGAGGAAGAGAAGTGGAGAGGTTCGAGGAGCTGGGGGAGGAGGAAGAAGAGTTGGTGACTTCGGTCTGCCTGCAGGAAACTTGGAGAATGGTGGTTCCGTTGGGTGCTGGAGCAGTGTGAATGTCGGCGTCTACGTGTGAATCTGGTGGTGGGAGAGCCTTGATTGAATGTTGGAAGGAGCAAGCAGAAGGACGAGGGTGAAGGGGAAGGTGCGACAGGGGCACCATAGCAGCTTGTTTTAGGGCCTGTTCCAACGGTGAAGTACTGTACTGTAGACTGGTCCTTAGCCGGTGATTGTCGGTCGCGAGCAGGTTCGGGTTGCCAGCTGCGGTCACAGTGCACCAGAGGGTCGTCATGAAGACGAGACGACCAGATCATCATGTTGAGGTAGGGCTGCGGGCGTTCCTTGACATGAGCTTACAGTGACGAGATTGACCCAGTTTGCTTGGTGACACATCCACTTTAGGGGAAAGTAAAAGATCAGACATGCAAGCACATAGATATTCGCTATCATCAACTCAGTCCTCTGAGCAACCTCTTCTCGCGATGGAATCCACCAACAAGACCACGAGCCCCCTCCTCTACCTCCCTCGGGAGGTATTCGACATGATCCTGCAGCTCCTCCCCCCTCCAGCGCAGGTGTGTCTACTCGTAACATGCCGCGGCCTCTACCATCACCAAGTCTACAACGCCACCATCAGAGACTTCCACCCTCAATTCCAAATCACCTCCGACACAGTGAACTACAACAAGAAGAGAGGCTACGATCGACCGACGATCTACCGCAAGACTCTCCTCCGCCAACTCCAAGACGACCGATGGGCCTACTGCTTCGCATGCTTCAAGCTCCACCCCCGGGCCGAATTCGACAGCCACAGCTGCCACCACCGATGGGCGCCGTTCCTGGCGCTCAGCACCAGCGCCATGTGCACTGCGCAGACGGGCATCGTCGACCTCTGCCCCTGCATCAGCCTCACCGCGCGCCACAAGATGCGGATTGCCCGCTACCTCGCGAAGGATGAGTCCGACTTGCAAGACCGCCAATATGCCCCCATCGACACGGATCCCCGCTTCCGAGTCATCCCCACCGGTCCCCACACCCGCGGCCTCGTCCACGACTGCAACATCCCCGCCTGCTGGCAGGGTGACATCCTCTCCCACCGCATGGTCCTCTTCCTCGACAGTCGACGGAACCTGATCGCGCACACGCGGTACTGCGTAACCACCCACTGGTGCAGTGCCGGGTGGTCCTTGTATGCGTGTCCGCATTATCCTCTCCTGGCCTTTCCCTACATTAGGCCTATACGCAGGCCTTTCAATGTCTGTCCAAGTTGTCGAGC